AGAGAGAGAGAGAGAGAGAGAGAGAGAGAGAGAGAGAGAGAGAGAGAGAGAGAGAGAGAGAGAGAGAGAGTGCTGATGCTATCATATTGAACGTCAATTTTGTTGCCATACTAAAATATCCAGATGGAAAGTGAAATCATATTTGTAAATATTTTACATATGGCACGGTGTACATCTGTCACGGTATAGCATTTCCGTAATACTAGCATGTATGCAGAGCTCCACAATCTATAATGAACACATGATTTCATAACTCGGAGACGTAACCAGAGTAGCACAAGACTTAAAACAAAAACCATCAAATAACAGCAACAACAACAAAACAAATAATTGAAAAGCCATGAAGAGCAATAAATAACAGCATAGAACATACAGGGTATCACTTATTAAACTGGCCGGTTAAGGCAGAGCTTAGAAATCATAAAAATATAATAAAAGGCACATCACAGATCATTAGAAGATTTACATTTTTAATTGAAAAACGGCATTTATTTTTTTAATTGGATGCAAAATTCTGATTGAAATAATCAGGCCGTGGAAAGAGCCTGTATTATTTCTGTTAATTTTTTAAAAATTACACGCACGCACGCACGCGCACACACACACACACACACACACACACACACACACACACACACACACACACACACACACACACACACACACACCCACACACACACACACACACACACACACACACACNCTAAAAATAAACGAGAACGGCCATTAACGCCAATTTTCATTGCAAATTAAGCCAAATTTATTATTATATTTTAAAAATTAAAAAATTACAGACTATCCGGAAAATTTCTTTACTAGAAGGCCAGTTTTCATGGTTTTCACGACCGGGAAAATTATCAAATAAATTCACGACTATTTCCCATTTTCCAAACTGTGTAGGGACCCTGTAAAGCAAAATTTTATGAATTTCCAAATATAAAATTCCATGGATTAACAACTTTCCATGTACGAAAAGTGTCATGTGTCATCTACTTAAAAGTATTATGTGTATTATCTACTCACAGCGCCATATTCCAACTGATAAACAACAGAGACAAGTTCACCAGGAAGTTTTCCCCGTTTTCTTATGGGAACAAATGGTACGTTGAGTTGCTGAGCAAGTATTGGGCCAAACAGAAATCCACGTGAATCTAATCCCACAATGCACTGGACATCTGGAACAGTTTCTTTGGTTGCTTGAAAAATGAGCTCATTCAGGTCTTTGAACACTGAAGGATTTCGGAGGACTTGAAAAATATCTCTGGATGAATGAAAATAAAGAATTTTACAATGCAACACATTTTATGCAACTTTAACCATCACCGCAACCCTTAATTTCCCTGCTTGAGAGTATCCTGTGATTTCTTGAGAGTACACAGTGGGTGGAGTCTACCCATATATATTTATTTATAGGATGTATCCTCAAAACCAAAAAAAATATAAATAAACATTGGTGAATTTGTCTATTATGGTATTTTTAGAACACTACTACATCTACTTCATACTGACATGCTACACGTACATCATACTGACATGCATAAAATTGACACAATTTTTGTTTTAATTAACAGACATAATTTATTTTCTTATTTCACACTAGAAGCTATAACCCAATGTTACCCAGGATAATAATGGAAGGCAATTTACTATATGTTCTACCAGCTCATACAAAGTCTCAACATCAAACTATCAAATTTTTATCATACAACTGAAAAAATGTGCTACAATATTCCATTTAAAATCTTTAAAACTGACGGATTTTGATATATTGGTTAGGTACTCCAACTCAAATTTTCAAATAAATTTGACTTACACAAAGAGCGTATCACTGTAAAGAGCTGGCTTTAAGTAATCTTTCTATAATTTATGGGAGAAAAGTTTTAGTTAATTAGTGATTTATTTTACCCCACTATTTGGCTTTGTATTTAATTTTTAAAACAAAATGTGATTGAATTGTTACTGTTTGTACTATTTTACTTGTATCTATTTGGCTATTAGAGTTAGAGTGCTCAAATTTGGAGGAGACATTTACAATACAATTTTTAACAAAACAAAACACATAAATCGTGAATTAACTATTATATTTTATAAACGAAGTGGTTATACGCAGCCGACTTTCAAGTGAGGTCTATATACTTCCTGTATTACAGTATGGTTCGATAAAGGTACTTCGTTATCAAGATGACTAGGTTTAAACTGAGTTTACTTAATAAATAAATTTTATTTTTAATATATTTATTTGGGACCCGCCAAATTTTTTGAAGACCGGGAAGGGACACCGCCATGTTAAATTTGGTGGCGTTGCCAGTGGTTGGGGGGGGGGTACACAAACGGGGGACGTTTCCAGAAGGCGCTAAATTCGTATTTTTTGTTTTAAAAAGCGAAATACGAATTAATATACACCTTTTATGCGCCTGAATTCGGGCGTTGCACCCAGTGCGAAGATTTCGCTTGCTTTTTTCCCTAGTTGAAATGATAGGATTGAAACATTGCATGAGACCACACCAATCTTTCCGGAATCAGCTACTACACGACCATTATATCCTGTGTTGTCTGGCTAAATTAGAGGAGTGTTCTTTACATGGTTAGTGAGCCAATCGTTCTGTATGTATCGTATACTAGCTGGGGCCACGCACACATCTTACGAGTGTAAAATACGAGAAGCGTGCAAAATTATAATAATAATTTCAGATGGCGCTAAATATGTCCACCAATGCTTATTGTATTGAGTCCTTAGATGGTGTCTAGTCACGGGTATTGATGCCGTTTTCGTTGGGTATTGACGGTAAGTGGTGCCATTCTATTAGGCTATTGACGGTAAGTGGTGCCATTCTATTAAGGTATTGACGGGAAGTGGTGCCATTCTATTGGGTATTGACGGTAAGTGGTGCCATTCTATTGGGTATTGACGGTAAGTGGTGCCATTCTATTAGGCTATTGACGGTAAGTGGTGCCATTCTATTGGGTATTGACGGTAAGTGGTGCCATTCTATTGGGTATTGACGGTAAGTGGTGCCATTCTATTGGATATTGACGGTAAGTGGTGACATTCTATTGGGTATTGACGGTAAGTGGTGCCATTCTATTGGGTATTGACGGTAAGTGGTGCCATTCTATTGGGTATTGAGGGTAAGTGGTGTCATTCTATTGGGTATTGACGGTAAGTGGTGCCATTCTATTGTGTATTGACGGTAAGTGGTGCCATTCTATTAGGGTATTTACTTGTACTTGCGCCATTCCAGTTTTCCCAATGCGCTTTTTTTCTGCGCATTTGGTGCGTACGTGATCAAGCGCACGACGGGAGAAGCAGCGAACTAGAGCGCATCATGGTGCGCAATGAAAGTGGGGCGGACAAGATCCACTCGGGCATTAGATTATAAGAGGGTGTCTGATTTTAACAATCTGAATCTCTATTTAAAATATTGACATCAAGTGAACATAATTGATAGATTGCTACATAGTATGAATCTTTAAAAAAATAACTTGCATCATAAAATTAAAAACATTTTGCAAAGACACTGCTAAACAATACAGAAACAAATATTATTTACAAATGAACACAGTTTTGGAACCGCATTTTAAAAATTATCACACAGAATGCAATTTCTCAGAATGGAAGAAGAAATTTCTGTTACCATCTGGTAACAAATATCCACAGTTACAACTGTACAAAATGAATAACACGAAAACCCCAAATAGGAACCGGTCTAGACAGCATCAAAGCATCGGATAGCCGTGACAGGAAATTTGAAGCGAAAACTCTACCACACAGCAATCGTACCATTAAAACCAAGAAAATCATTTCCTCATTGTAGGTATTGAAAATACAGTGTGATCTTCATGACAGAATCGGAACATACAAAGGTCACTTTTCAAACAAACTTGTAGGGTTTTTTCACGTTCAGTTCGTCATGAGTTAGAGACAGTCTCTTCATAGCTTGAGCATTCACTAATTTAACAATGCAAAAGTTAAAGCTGTCAATGTAAAGTGTAAATCTAAATTGTGTTGTTTATTTTTTTCAAATTATTTCTTGCACTATTGGGACTAAAGATCGTTAAATAATATTAATTATATTAATAAAAAATTTCGTTAGCAATTTATATATATACAGTTATGGGTTTAAAGCTTTATATGAATTCTGAATGATCTATTCCTTTTTTCTTTCTTTAGTATTCTTAAATTTATTACCTTTCTCATGACCATATAAACCATTTCATTTTCCCCCCATCTATGTTCATTCCTCCTTCTAAATTCACTGCCTAGCCCCGCGTGCAAGGGACAGACTGCAAGCGTCCAGCTAACATCTCCAACACAAAGCCTGGATCCAGCACCTTTAAACGCCGACCCCCAGCTCCAGCAGATCAGATGCCCAATGAGTTGACTCTTTTGACCACTGACCAGCAGACAAAACCAACGGGCGTGACAAAGGTTTGGCAAGCAGCAATTTGTATCATCAGCCGGCCAGAAATCACACCACGCTTCATGATCACACAGCAAGCAGCCAGTTGTGTAGAGAGTCGTTACCCTCAAGCAGCGAGTAGTGTAGAGTAGTGTAGAGAGTCGTTACCCTCAAGCAGCCAGTAGTGTAGAGAGTCGTTACCCTCAAGCAGCCAGTAGTGTAGAGAGTCGTTACCCTGAAGTTCGTCACTCCCATCATACGCCACTACATTAAACCTTTTACATTCTCTCAGTATCAGAATGGTAAGATCCAAACCCTCCCGTATCATTCCGGTCTCGTGCACTAGTAACATAGCAGCGCCAAAAATTTTCTCACACGCGGCCCTAGTATGCATTTATTAACCTTTCCGTTGACGTACAATGAATGCCCCTTTTCATCTTTCACCGCACCAAGTCTCGGAAGGTTCATGAATAAATATGCACCACATTCCAGTCTCGTCTTTCACAACAGACCTGTATTTGTACCCCGACATTCAAGCCTCACTCATCACACACTAGCAGCCCTAAACTTGTAGCCCCAATGCCTAGACCGGTTCGCTAGTCACTCCAGAAGCAGATGCTCGTACAGCACCAGGAAGTCGTTTCTCTGGCTGTGGCGGTCCATCGCCTCCTGCTCCTCTCTCTCCTTGTCACGGATGTTGATGTCGATATCGTACAGTCGGCCCGCCGTGCTTCGCCGGTGTTGGCGGAATGAGTCCATTCTACGAACAGATAAATAATGATACTATTGACAAAATATACGATACCAGATAGAACCATCACAAAACAAGATGAAGGTTTTCACGCAAGAAATCTTTTTTTTTTATTCTACGAAGAGAAGGTCACCTCAGCGAAACTCCTCTCGATTTCAGCAGGAATTTTATAAATAGTCCACGTTATTACAGCCAAAATGGACTCGATGGTCGATGAATGTATTATAGTAATAGATTCATTTTGTATAGAGCTTAGATTGCATTAATTAAATACCTACACATGTTGCATACACCGTTCTGTATTGCTACTCGAAATTTGTTTCTTGAAATGGAAATCTAATGAGTTATGTGGCGATTTTTTCATATCAAACAAGGTGCGGGGAAAATGTTTTTGTTTTGTTTTATAAAGCTGGGTTTTTTTTAAATTAAATAAATATAACTTTTTTAATCTCTTGTTTATTTTATGTTTTTATGTGAAGCGTGCTGAGCTTAGCGCTAGGCTGGGGTACCGCGCTATTTAAGACCACTGTAATAACAATAATAATGACATCGTAAGTGCACTTCACTAACCCTTTGAAAATGATGGTTGATTTCATTTTAAAACCTCTAATTGAAACATCTATGTGCACATGTGTGAAAATAACAAAGAAATATACAACACACGGTGGGGACAGCACACGAATAAAGACTATATCATAAACCAACTAGAGGAATTCAGTTTCCCAGGAATCAAGACTTCCCAGTAAAAGGGCTTACACGGCTTCCCAGTGAAAGGGCTTACACGGCTTCCCAGTGAAAGGGCTTACACGGCTTCCCAGTGAAAGGGCTTACACGGCTTCCCAGTAAAAGGGCTTACACGGCTTCCCAGTGAAAGGGCTTACACGGCTTCCCAGTGAAAGGGCTTACACGGCTTCCCAGTGAAAGAGCTTACACGGCTTCCCAGTGAAAGGGCTCCCAAGACTTCTCAGAAAAAGTCTCCCATTATTTCTTGGTAAAAGAACTCTCAAGACTTCTCAGTAAAAAGGCTCACGTTTCTTCTCAGTGAAAGGTCTCCAAAGACATTAGTAAAAGGGCTCCCAAGACTTCCCATTAAAAGGACTCCCAAGACATCAGTAAAAGGGCTCCCAAGACTTCCCATTAATAGGACTCCCAAGACTTCTTAGTAAAAAGACTCCCAAGACATCTGTAAAAGGGCTCCCAAGACTTCTCATTAATAGGACTCCCAAGACTTCTTAGTAAAAAGACTCCCAAGACTTCCCAGTAAAAGGGCTCCCAAGACTTTCCATTAAAAGCCTCCCAAAACTTCCCAGTAAAATGGCTCTGGAGCCAAAATTGTTACCATATTATGATCAGTAGCATGGACGCACCTGATTGGCTGTCTGTTGTTGACTAAATCCTTCCACTCGTCAAGTCTGGCATTTCGTCGCCTCCGTTCACAACACAACCACAACAACGCACGCCGGAATTTTCTGGAACACAAAGGAGAATGTGAATGGCTAAGTTAGGCAATCGTACTGAATTTAGAAAAAAAAATTAAAAAATGAGACATTTTAAACAAATCATTGTGGAAAAAAATAAGTTGGTGGGGGCAACGAATCTGTGTTATAGGGACATGCAGTCACTAGGGACATGCCGTCTTAGCGCGCGATGATCTCAAGACAAACATGTTTATGAAAGTGTCGAACTCAGGAAACAGTGAACCACGTTCTGAAATTTACTTTGAATGTCTTTCTTTTTTCTACGAACACTAGTAACTAATCGTGAGCAAGTTGTTTTTGTTTTTTTTCAATCTATTAAAATAAAGATCACTTTGAAGAGTCGGGTGAGGAGAGTGGTGCTGGTCACATATTTGTTAAACATCCGAAAGAAAGGATGATAGCTTGGTAGAATTTTCTATACGTGATCAATTTTGTAGCTGAGTGAATCGTGATCAGGGGTAATATAACGGTCACCAGGAGTCGTGGCAAGAGTTTGAGATCCTAAAAATTATAACTGGAAATACAATTTAAAAAAAAAGGGAATGATGTAACGATTAAATTAAAATTTGAAATTAACATTGGCCGTGAAAAGAAATACCCTCAGGACAACGATAATTTGGGAAATGCGCTCAAAGTGTGTGAAAGAAAGAAATAGTGCACGAATTATATTTAGGCTTGGAAAAAAAAAAAAAAAGGAGGACAGAACGATCAAAAGAACGTTTCGGCGAAACGCCGTCTTCCGCCTTCTATTGATTCCTCCCCCGTTTATCTGTGTTTTTCATTTGCTTTTTTTTTCTTCAAAAAGTTGATCTAGAAAAATGCATACGTTAAGAATCTGTCAGAACACGCTGGCTCAAAACAGTGGTTGATTTATTTAGCTACCACATATACATTGTATATATATATATATATATATATATATATATATATGTATATATATATGTATATATATATATATATATATATATATATATATATCTCCCGGTTCCATGTAGTAATATCTGTAGATTTGAATGTATCTGTGTCTCTCGGGTCGCCACGACGGCATTTCCATTCGTCCGATTGCAAAAACACATAACTGCGGAAAAGGCAGCCATTTGTTTTACATTTCTTATCATTGATTGGTTAAAAAAAAATATTGAAGTCTGGTGTAACTAGACTAAGTGTAAGTACCAATCTCCCGGTTGAGTTACTGGACCATGAGATGAAGACTTTCCGTCTTTCGCTTTTAAATAGCAATTTAAATAGTCTCAATATTGGATCATGGTTCTCTTTTTTTAATTGCAATTAAATAAAGAACAAATTAGTATCAATATCATTTATTCCCAGAGTACACTTGAGATATTTTTACGGGTAAGAATTTTGATTTTTGTCTTCCAAAAAAAGTGGAGCTGAAACTGTGAAGGCTTTAGTCTTTTTATTGTCGAAGATCAAAGCTCTACGCCATCCTTGTTTTCAAACACGTACTTTGCGCCTTTCCCAAAGCCACATTAGCTTCTACCGAAGTAGATGATTATTTCAATCGGTCTGGTTATGTGTTTCGTTACATTCGAGGCAGCTTATAAGACCAGCTATAGGTTTGGTTATATTCAAGGTAGATTATAAGACTGGTTATAGGTTTGGTTACGTTCGAATTAGCTTTTTAAGACTGGTTATAGGTTTGGTTAATTTGAGGTAGTTTAATAAGACTGTTTATAAGTTCTTTTACATTCGAGGTAGCTTAACATGCTGGTTATAGGTTTGGTTACATTCGAGGCAGCTTACCAGACTGGTTCGCTGTTTGGTTACATTCGACGTAGCTTAACATGCTGGTTATAGGTTTGGTTACATTCGAGGCAGCTTACCAGACTGGCTCGCTGTTTGGTTACATTCGAGGTAGCTTACCAGACTGGTTCGCTGTTTGGTTACATTCGAGGCAGCTTACCAGACTGGTTCGCTGTTTGGTTACATTCGAGGCAGCTTACCAGACTGGTTCGCTGTTTGGTTACATTCGAGGCAGCTTACCAGACTGGTTCACTGTTTGGTTACATTTGAGGCAGCTTACCAGACTGGTTTGCTGTTTGGTTACATTTGAGGCAGCTTACCAGACTGGTTCGCTGTTTGGTTACATTCGAGGCAGCTTTTGTGTTGAGCTTATTTTTGTTACCACATCATTATAAAGACATTTAAGATGAGGAACTTCAGAAGAGCTATTGCCTTATTTTAAGAAACACTTGTCATTAAAATATAATATTAGACAAGGCATTTGTAATTTATTACTACTATTCAACAGTGCTTCTCAATTTGTAGTTACTTTTATGGACCAGTCGGAATTAGTCCATCTTGCGGCAGGGTACGGGACCTCATATTTTTTATTTAAAATTATGTTTCTTTTGGGACTTATTGTTCAGTTTATGCGAATCGCCTAGAAACTGAAAGGTTCACGGACCACCCCAACCGAAGGTCACGGACAAGCACTGAAGGTCACGGGCCACCCCAACTAGAGGGTAACGGATCCCTACTGAAGGATCACGAACCGCAACAACTAAGGGTCAAGGAGCACCGTAACTGAAAACAATGACCAACCTGGATACAAAGTTGTAAACGAATGGGTTGATGGCGTGGTTGGAGTACAGAAGGAGTCGCGTCATGTAGATCATCGTGACGTAGGTCTCCATGTCCATTCCCTCGGCGTCCTGTGACGGGGAGAACATCGTCCATATTGCAATANCACACATCAGAACCCAATACTTTTACACACATCAGAACCCAATACTTTTACACACATCAGAACCCAATACTTTTACACACATCAGAACCCAATACTTTTACACACATCAGAACCCAATACTTTTACACACATCAGAACCCAATACTTTTACACACATCAGAACCCAATACTTTTACACACATCAGAACCCAATACTTTTACACACATCAGAACCCAATACTTTTACACACATCAGAACCCAATACTTTTACACACATCAGAACCCAATACTTTTACACACATCAGAACCCAATACTTTTACACACATCAGAACCCAATACTTTTACACACATCAGAACCCAATACTTTTACACACATCAGAACCCAATACTTTTACACACATCAGAACCCAATACTTTTACACACATCAGAACCCAATACTTTTACACACATCAGAACCCAATACTTTTACACACATCAGAACCCAATACTTTTACACACATCAGAACCCAATACTTTTACACACATCAGAACCCAATACTTTTACACACATCAGAACCCAATACTTTTACACACATCAGAACCCAATACTTTTACACACATCAGAACCCAATACTTTTACACACGTGAGAATCCAATTTTTTTTTTTAAAAGATGGCAACTTTTTTTTTTCCCTGTACATTTCATGGGCGTAAACAAAGATGGGTTGAGATTTTTCTTTCAAGATATAGAAACATAATTGTGTTTCCATTTTGCGAACAGTAAAGCGGATGTACATTTTTTTAAAATGAGATCAATAACATTTGTTGTTGTTGTTGTTGTTGTTGTTGTTGTTGTTGTTGTTGTTGTTGTTGTTGTTGTTGTTGTTGTTGTTGTTGTTGTATATATATATATACACGTCAGTGTGTGTGTGTCATGTGTGATGGGTGTGATGTGTGTGTGTGTTTGGGTGCGCGTAAACTGGTAACAATACACGTATTTTATTAACTTGAGAGCGCAGCCAATCCAAAACGAAAGTATGATAGTCAACGTTAGTAGCAAGCAAGCGCAAGGGCGGCAACTGACGGCCTAGCTGAAGCGACGTCCTGATGCGCTATTGACAGTCGTAATAGCATCTCGCAAACTGGCCGAAATCTGATCTATAATTAGCACAAAATGCAGGCAGGTCTTTTTTTTTTTGGCTTAAGATCAGCCCAGCCACGCGCAGCGCGACCCTAAAAATAACATGATGGATCTCTCTGTTGATCCCTTGAGTTAACGGCGTGTCTCTGTGCTAGAAATAACTCTCGATAATAAAACATGAAAAAAAAAGCCAACATGTCGGGGTGAGTTCCCCTAGGTATGGGCACTGAGCCTAATTATGCCATTAATCATCTCATGGGAAAGGACATCAACGGCGATAACATCGTGGATATTTTAAAAAATATTTTGTAAGCATTAATCTTAAGTTGGCTTTTTGAAAAAAAAAACTTGCCGTCTACTAATATGTCACATTGGAACATTGGTGTCAGTGGGCCATCGAGCTGTACGAGCTTTTAATGCCACACCCCCGGCACACCTCCCACGGGCCCGGCGCACCTCCCACGGGCCCGGCGCCGGTTTTTTTTTTTACCGTAACAGGATCACGCCCGGCAACCCCCCCCCCCCCCCCCCTGGCCTGGAGGATGTCCGGTTGACCGGAAATGCTGCGATTAAAGCGTTCGCGGTCCACTCTCCCTAAGGGTCTGGGCGGGTTTGCTTCCACTCCGGTGCTGCGTTACCACCCCCACCACCCAGGGAGTCTTTCGGTCCGAACGGAAAGCTGGGACGAAACGGTTGCCTAGGGAGCGACTTTCTCGTGGCCGCGTAGCTAAAATCATCGGCATGAGTTTTAACCGCCACCCAAGCCTCATATCAATCAATGGCACAAAATATAATGTTGCGACGTTACTACTCCCGTTGCGTTGGGAGTCATGTGATCGGCCGGGTTTTTTTTTTCAGCTTCAGAAGAGCATTACCTCCCTACTAGTCCGACATGCCACGAAGAAGCAAACCCCACGTGGACGCCCCCCAAGTTTCCTCGGAGACGCTCGCGCGAGCGCAGGACGGCACGGTAGTCTATATGAGCTGGTATTGGTATAAAAATATTATTAATTCGGTTGAGGATTTTCCTGTTCAACTAGGTCAAATCGCTAAATGCCTGCCATTATTATCCCGGTAATATCTCGTCATATATTCTATAAACATATATATATATATATATTGTAAGGAAACCTTGCTAACTCTCTGCTAACCTTCCATCTATATCTGACATACACTAAAGAAACAACTCAGGCGATAACAATCGATGATTATAGTCTTGTTCTTTATTAGGCTGACACTTCGCTTATACTTTCTCTCATCTCGCAACTCTGACTGTCCTCTACTCATACCATCCGGCCGCGCTCCGTCTCGTCCCGTCCAGAGGTCCCTATTTATAAGTCCCTGGTTCATAGAGTTCCCTTCCCAGGTCTGTACTCGCCCCGCCCCTATTTCTCAATTGGCGCCAGTTTACCAACCAACCAGACGTCCCAGGTAAATGCCCTGGTCAGATGGCTTGATCCGTCGATCGTGATCTCTGGTCAGCTGGCGCCGGCCGTACCTGTCAGACGGCCGGTCGCCGTCGTGATCCGAACTCTCCACAATCCCCGGCGCCTCCGGCGCCGTCGTGGTCCGAACTCTCCACACTATATATATATATTATATACCCCAAAGAAGCACGAACAAAAAAAAACACCCCCACAAAAATACGCCGTGATGAAGTCCATGAGAAGTAGAGCAAAAGTACAACCGAAATGGTAACAATATGAGTTGGATAATCGCTGCGTTCCCGAGAGGTTTTTCTTGAGCCCTTCGTGACCAACATTGTTCCATTTGGGAATCCGAATCTCAAGTAATGAATCTATCGCGTTATGACTTTAAAATACAGAAATGTAACCAAACAACAAACAAACAACAAAAACAACTGCCAACGTTCAAAATGGAGATTGCCGAATGCACTATTAACGAAACACGCCTCAGACATCTAGCGGCCACAGTCAGTGGCATAAGGAAGGGCAGGAGGGGCGGGGCGGGGGGGGGCTGTCCGCCCCACGCCACAGGCCGCGGTACTTGTATCCTGGAGTTGTCGTTTTAACCCGGAAATGTCAAGCCATCTGATCGGTTACATTGACATACCACTCCCCGACCCCCCCACCCCTCCTATGTTTTGTTATCTGTGTGTCTTGAAGTGCTCAATGTATTTTTTGTCATATTTAAAAATAGTTCTGCTCCAGTAGAGAAATATACCGAAGACCGACAAATACACAAACACCGATTATACGAAACGTTCGTCATCCGAATTGTAATTCTCTTCGATATTATATTTTTATTATTATCATTATTATTATTATTTTTACCTTCTTTATTATTATTATTATTATTATTATTATTCTCATCGTACGCAATTCGAATGGCGATTAGCGATGTCGTATAACAAAATTATGTGTTGCGAAGGGGGTGAAGTTAAAGCTGATCCTTGTCGCCCTTATGCCCAGGGGACATAGTTAGAGACAGAGCTTTAATGGTGTTTGATCTATCAATCTTTTCTTTTTTTTTTTTTTGCCACCCAATGGAGCACATGCCAATTCAACTCTATCTTAATCTCTCCTGCTACGGTAACATTCTCCGAATCTCGAGGTCCTCCTAGTCCAGTGGTCAGTATTCAACTCTATCTTAATCTCTCCTGCTACGGTAGCATTCTCCGAAACTCGAGGTCCTCCTTGCCCAGTGGTCAGTATTCCACTCTATCTTAATCTCTCCTGCTACGGTAGCATTCTCCGAATCTCGAGGTCCTCCTTGTCTTTGCCACCCAATGGAGCACATGCCAATTCTACTCTATCTTAATCTCTCCTGCTACGGTAACCTTCTCCGAATCTCGAGGTCCTCCTAGTCCAGTGGTCAGTATTCAACTCTATCTTAATCTCTCCTGCTACGGTAGCATTCTCCGAAACTCGAGGTCCTCCTTGCCCAGTGGTCAGTATTCAACTCTATCTTAATCTCTCCTGCTACGGTAGCATTCTCCGAAACTCGAGGTCCTCCTTGTCCAGTGGTCAGTATTCAACTCTATTTTAATCTCTCCTGCTACGGTAGCATTCTCCGAATCTCGAGGTACTCCTTGTCCAGTGGTCAGTGAATCGCGGCTAGCGATCCGCATGCGGCTCTTCAGCGACCTGGGTGCGGCTCGACCAGTCGGCGAAAAAATCTGTTTTGACTCCGAAAAACATGGCTCTTGACAGGTTCTTGAAAAGAAATGTGGCTCTCAAAAATCTTTTAATCGTCTTGCTGGTGATTTTCGGCTCTTTTGACTAATGAGTTAAACGACCACTGGCCTAGTCCTATCTTTTTTTTTCTTTGCCCAAGCCACTCATCATCCCACCCAAAAGTTATCGAATTATTTGTCCAACTCTTTGTTCACAAGAATTGCAGTGTATTCCTCATCTCCGAGACATTCGATGGTTCAGTTGGATCAAGTGACTACCGTGTCTTGTTGGAATCAAATGTCTACCGTGTCATGTGGGATTCAAATGTCTACCGTGTCTTGTTGGATTCAAATGTCTACCATGTTTTGTTGGAATCAAATGTCTACCGTATCTTGTTGGAATCAAATGTCTACCATGTCTTGTTGGAATCAAATGTCGACCGTGTTTTGTTGGAATCAAATGTCTACCGTGCCTTATTGGAATCAAATGTCGACCGTGTCTTGTTGGAATCAAATATCGACCGTGTTTTGTTGGAATCAAATGTCTACCGTGTCTTGTTGGAATCAAATGTCTACCGTGTCTTGTTGGAACCAAGCCATCAGGGCGCGTGTCACATACATCTCCCATACTTGATTTGTTTTTGTCTCCGCAGGGATTTGTGATCACAGTTCCCCTCAAGTGTTGTGTTGGGGATTTGTAATGACGGTTCCCCTCAAGTGTTGTGTTGGGGATTTGTGATGACCTTTTCCCTCAAGTGTTGTGTTGGGGATTCTGTCTAACACTTTTATGTCATTGATCGTCCCCCACCACCTTTTTCTGTTGACATCTGTCAAACAAATATCTACAGTCGTGACGTGTCTCCTTTTGCTGCCCGTAATTTTTGTCACTGGGGGTGTGGGGGGGGGGGGAATCCAACCAATCAACCAGCAGGTGATTCAGTTCGAGTTCACCCGAAACTTATGCATATCGAGAAAACGGGGTTTAGTATCAGCCATTAATAGGCTGGTTATCAGACAACACTTCCGGGGCAGCCCCAGAGCTCCATTCATTTGAAAGTATTTGTTACGCATCATTATGTCGTTTTCGCCGCAAATTTAATATGTTTTAAGATTTGGTCCAGATGAGCAATCCGTAGCAACGGACTGAAACCCAATATTGAAAGAATAACGACACCAAAGCCAGTGATATTAACAATATTCAACTTTAATCATGTCATTTACTATTTATAGGAACGTACTAAATCAAATAGAAGGGGAAAAAAAACTATATTAACTCACAGCAGAGCGATTGAAAATGTATGAACATCGAAAGATCTAATAAATATTCATACACACACACACACAAACACAAGAGCACAGACTTTTAGGGCTTCTGTAAGTATGTTGTGTCTCCCAAATTTCAATGAAATCTAGGAAAATCTCTTCGGCCTGGGTCGCCACTTATTTATAGGGAGGGAGACGGACCCAGCCCCCCCCCCCCCCCCCCCCCCCGCTCGCCCAACAAGAAAGGAACTAAACAGCCATGGCCACCAGCATCTTTTAAACAACCTAGAACCAACCTTTTCGCCTTCAAGGGAAGGGTGAGCAATGGCACAGCACTTCACATTTTTTTTTGTGTCAGTATAAAAGAAAAGAAAGAAAAGTTGCGGACGTTTCAGCTCTACGTTGAAGCAAGATTAGGTCAACACACACGCTAGAACATTATCATGACACAAATGAGGTTTGTGGTACTACTATTTCGTATGTGTCATTGGTTGATTTGTCTTGTCATCGGATCATCGGTGTAAAAGACTTTCTTGAAACGCATATTTATTTTAAACTTATAAACGTTTACATCTTCGCAGCAGTGAGTCGGTAACTGACCAGTTAACTGTTACTAAGCTCGTGTTTGAGATGTACTCATTAGTGTTATCTAGGTGTACACTGAGACGAGGCATCAGAAACATAACACCCCTTTACAGACTTTGATTTGTTTTTTGTTTTGTTTTTTGTGTTGTTTTTTTTTTTTAAGATGGCGTATTCGTTCATGTTATTTATTTTTTTAATTAGAGATGACCAAACGTAAGTTACAACCGGGCCCGTCTATTTCAACGGGAAGCACTCTCATGTCATGTAAGAAGGCTTAAGGGGCGCGCCTGCTCAACATTGGATAATGGTCAGAAATGTTTGGCCTCCTTCTTTCTGAGGATTTATTGAATCCATGATAAAAAAATAATGCCGTTTCAAGAATCGATGTAAGTCTATATGATCGCCGTCTTTTTATGAGAACATTTTAAAAACACGATCTAAATTTTAACAAAATATCCTGTGTCCAAAATCTGAAGAAAATAATGGGAAGAGTCTACTTGAGACGCGTGTCTGTAAGAGAATCGCCTGCAAGATAATGACTGTAGGAGACGAGTCTGTAAGAGAAATATCTTTAAAAACGTGTCTGTAAGAAAAATGTCTGTAAAGGATTTGTCTGCAAGAGAAATGTCTGTAAAAACTTGTCTGCAAGAGAAATTTCTGTAAAAGATATGTCTGTAAGAGAAGTGTCTGTAAAATATGTGCTTGTATGAGATTGGTAAGAAACTTTTAACCCTCGATATCGTAGAAATGAGCGATCTCGATCTTTCTCTCTCTCTCTCTCTTTCTCTCTCTCTCTCTTTCTCTCTCTCTTTCTCTCTCTTTCTCTCTCTCTTTCCCTCTCTTTCCCCCTCTCTCTCTTTCTCTCTATTTCTCTCTCTTTCTCTCTCTCTCTTTCTCTCTCTCTGTTTCTCTCTGTTTCTCTCTCTTTCTCTCTGCCTCTCTCTCTTTCTCTCTCTCTCTCTCTCTCTTTCTCTCTTTCTCTCTCTCTCTCTCTCTGTCGTCAAAAACTTTAAAATTTAGCGATCTCTCTCCCTGGGGTCATAATCTTTAACATGGTGTACCAGTTATAAGCAAACCAGACGGACAAAGTTTTTTCTCAAATTCTCAAACCGCAATTCGTGGAGCACAGACGTAATCTCTTATATATATATATATATTGTTTCTGGTCCGTTCTTCTTCTTCTTCAAAATTGACCCAAACAATCCACATGTTTTGTATTAGTTTCACTAAGTGAACACAATGCCGTGACGCAACGAGCAACATGCGTGACGTCCTGACTCCGGTAAATAAATTGTTCTTTCTTTAGGGGAGGTGATTATTTGTATTAATCCATAAGGAGCCACGGGTGTGGTGTAGGACTGGCTGTAGGACTGTCTGAAGGACACCTTTTTCAAAGGCCGGTATAGCATTTGGAGAACTCCCCCCCCCACGTGTATTTTCTGAAAAATACCCGGACCCGGTATAAAAACAACTGCACCCGGTTAAGTACGGGTTAAAAAATTTTTAGTTGGAGACTATGTTCAGTGTTTTCATCTCTGTGTAGCAGACATTATTACTGAATAATGAGAAGGATTTTCTCAAGCAATGACTCAACTCCAAAAAAAAAAATGTGGTGAGGAGGGAGGGAGAGATAGATAGAGGTGGGGGAGGGGGGACACCCTATCATAAGCTTGAGTTCCTGTTTTTTAAATTTCTAATGTATATTAGAAGACTCATGAACAAAAAGACGAAATAATATAACTACATAGAAAGAGTCACATTTAAGGGAGAAACATTCACTTTACAATACAGTAACAAAATATAGTTTATTATTTACAAAGAGCAGCAACACCCACAATCTAGTCAATCGTACATGGTCTAATAAGTTAGTAGTATAGAGTTTCATTATCTACAGAGGTCTCAAACCATGAAATGGTTTGATCCCATCATGCATACCTGTAATCGTTCAAACCCTCATGCATACCTGTCAGGGTTACGACCGTCATGCATAATTGTAATGGTTCAAAACCCCATGCATACCTGTAAGGGTTCAAACCGTCATGCATACCTGTAAGGGTTCAAACCGTCATGCATACCTGTAAGGGTTCAAACCGCCATGCATACCTGTAAGGGTTCAAACCCTCATGCATACCTGTAAGGGTTCAAACCGTCATGCATACCTTTAAGGGTTCAAACCGCCATGCATACATGTAAGGGTTCAAACCCTCATGCATACCTGTAAGGGTTCAAACGCTCATGCATACCTGTAAGGGTTCAACCCGTCATGCATACCTGTAAGGGTTCAACCCGTCATGCATACCTGTAAGGCGTGTGACAGATGAAGAAAACAAGCACCACGGTGATGATGATCTGCGTCATCTGACGCTTGAGTCGGACAATCTCCCGTGGATACGTCAGAGACTTCTCCTGCTCCCTCCTGAACAACATCATCAGTTTCATATAGACCTGCAAGGTAAAAACAAAACATCATCAGTTTCATATAGACCTGCAAGGTAAAAACAAAACATCATCAGTTTCATATAGACCTGCAAGGTAAAAACAAAACATCATCAGTTTCATATAGACCTGCAAGGTAAAAACAAAACATCATCAGTTTCATATAGACCTGCAAGGTAAAAACAAAACATCATCAGTTTCATATAGACCTGCAAGGTAAAAACAAAACATCTTGAGTTTCATACAGGTTTGTAGGATATAAAAACATCATGTATTTCACTCAGATTTTTATTATAAAAAAATAAAAAGAAATCATGAGTTTCATATAGACCTGTCGATGGTCTAAAAACATCAGTGTGTTTTAAAAATCTCCTTCAGTAAGGCATTTACTGTACCTCATTTGTTGGCGAGAAGTTATTAAATAGAGCGGTGGGAGGGGAGAGCGAGTGGGGGTTAATCATCGTCTAGAGCCACAAAGAGTCCAATTACCGCGTGAGGTTTTCACCAAACACATTTTTTTCAGCAGAACCGAGTGAGCCCCGACATATTGCGGGTATCAAGTTGACAAGATAATGGAAAACACACAGATCAAAATCTCCCTTCGCGTTGATTCTATTCAACCCAAGATAAACTGACAGAAGAGATTTTTAAGTAGTTTACTGTGTTAAATTATTTAATTCTCAAACTTGTCAAGTCAAAGAAAATAAATGTGCGAAGCAAAAAAAATAAACAAAACAAAAACCCCCCCCCCCCAAAAAAAAGGCAGATGAAGTGCGAATAAAAAAATTAAATACTATTTAATGTCTCCTTTTCCAATGCCAAATAGACACTGACAAAAAAGAGAAATTTGATAAAAAAAAAAAAAATGCGAAACAAAAAAAAAAAAACAAACAAAAACCCCCCCCCCCCCCAAAAAAAAGGCAGATGAAGTGCGAATAAAAAAATTAAATACTATTTAATGTCTCCTTTTCCAATGCCAAATAGACACTGACAAAAAAGAGAAATTTGAAGAAAAAAAATAAATACATACGATTCCAAAATACGTTTAGACCAGTGGTTCTTAACCTGGCTTTGATCGAACCCCAGGGGTTCGTTGAGTCAGTCTCAGGGGTTCAGCGGAGGTCCCAAAAATCAGAAAAAAGTCATATTTTATTTTTCCTATTAAGAAAGGTTCGGTGAATGAGCATATGAAAACTGGTGGGAATCGGTACCTCCAAAAGGTTAAGAATCAATGGTTTAGACTTACTGACTAGAGATGAGGAGCCTCCCAAGATATTTGGGATGAATGCAGGGAGAGGTGACATTTTAACATTGACGGGGAGATCATTGGAGTAGCCGGGGGCACCCCCCGTGACCTGACATTTCTAGGTGACATGTGCCGACATTTGTCAGAGAGCTCGTGCACAACTGTCATGCACAGGCTGCTAATCTGTCATACAAAGGTTGCTAATCGTCAAGCACAGGTTGCTAATCTGCCATACAACGGTTGCTATTCTGTCACGCACAGGCTGCTAATCTGTCATGCAAAGGATGCTAAGCTACCATGCACAGGTTGCTTATCTATAATACACAGGTTTCTAATTTGTCAATCACAGATTGCTAATCTGTCATGCATAGGGTGCTAATCTGTCATACACAGGTTGCTAATCTATATTGCTCAGGCTGCTAATCTGTCATGCACAGGCTGCTGATCTATAATGCTCAGGCTGCTAATCTGTCATGCACAAGCTGCTAATCTATAATGCTCAGGTTGCTAATCTGTCATGCACAGGTTGCTAATCTATAATGCTCAGGCTGCTAATCTGTCATACACAGGTTGCTAATCTACAATGCCCAGGTTGCTAATCTGTCATGCACAGGCTGTTAATCTATAATGCTCAGGCTGCTAATCTGTAACTTGTCCGTTCAGAGCGTGGGATTGTGTTGTTATTTTTTTTTACGTTGCAAACTCCATCCCTCCAACAGCCAATTATTGCCATAACTTAAACCAGCTTGACCGATGTTTGAGATTCACTATTAACATGACCATGCAGTGGCGTATCTAGGAGTTAGTGCCAGACGGGGAGGACAAAGATGTTTTGCCAAGGGAAAAAACAAACACAATTCATTGAACAAAAAGCACCACCCTTCAACTTTAAAGGGGGGGGGGAAGGAAGGGTCCGCCCTAGGTTGACCACCTCTTCACCCCCTCTTCCTACGCCCCTGCGACCATGTCATCAATAAAATCTGTAACATACCGTCTGGGAATAAAGACGGTAAATTTATTCTGAGACGTTAGTGAGACAGTAGGGACACTCGTTGGTATGAACTCCATTTTTACTAATTCTAAACATGTCATTTCTGTGACGGAGTCTCGTTAAGCACCCCCACCGTCTTCCCACTCCCCCATCCCCCACTCTCTCATCCCCCTCACTCCCCTATCCCCCAACTCCCCCATCACAGGGTCTTTAGATGTATCATTAAAACCATTTTCAACAATTCTCTCCACGATTCCCCCCCCCAACCCCCACATTTTTCCCCCTTCCCTAAACTTTGTTTCTGTCAAAAATGTTTCAGATTACTTGCTTTGACACAATGATAAATTAGTTTGTTACTTCGATAAATGACTCTTGGTCTACAGACAAATGACTTTGGTTTAAATACAAATGACTTTGGTTTACTAATATGATCTCGGTTAACTGATAACTGAATTTCGTTTACAGACAAATGACTTTTCTTTAAAGGTAACCACTCACGGTTTACAGATGACTTACCTTGGTGTATAGTAGAAGAATAACAAAGAGAGGCATGATGAAAAACAAGAGGTTGCCCAGGACGGCGTAGACCTTGTGCCAGGTCTCCTCAATGTTGGTTATGCACCTGGACACAGGAGTACCTGACATTGGAAGGTGAAGAGAAAAAAAGAAGTACACATTAAGCAAACAATGAGGGCAGTTGAATAAAATATGTTAAGGGAAGCCGTCGCTACTATGATCACTGGTGTGAACAGGATGGATCACGTGACTATTGATGGTGGTCGTACCTTGTTCTGGATCCGCAGATCTTGATTTATTAGTACAAGTTTTTACATGATGGAAGTGGCCAGTGCCGGACTAACGTTAGGGCTTCTGCACGCGCCAAGAGGCCCCGGGCTCTTTAGGGCTGCGTGACAATATTTTTTGGGGGGGGGGGGGCGGACTTGATTTGATTTTGCACGTACTTGGGAAGGCGCAAATGTATAGTTCTGATGGGCATCTACCCGGAGGCCAGGCATAACAAATTTACATAAATTTACATGATGGAAGTGGCCAGTGCCGGACTAACGTTAGGGCTTCTGCACGCGCCAAGAGGCCCCGGGCTCTTTAGGGCTGCGTGACAATATTTTTTGGGGGGGGGGGGCGGACTTGATTTGATTTTGCACGTACTTGTGAAGGCGCAAATGTATAGTTCTGATGGGCATCTACACGGAGGCCAGGCATAACAAATTTACATAAATTATGAGGAGGCAAGAGAAAGTGACATTAACAACACATGTCTTAAAAGTATTTCTTAGACGGTAATCATCAAAGGAAGGAATTTGAAGGACTGTCGTCTTATAATTGGATCACTGAATAAGCGACCAAAAATGTGACTTCTAAAACGAGATGGTTTAAAGGTTTGATTCGAATTCAAATTAAATAACATTGGTATTTGCGGAGAAAAAAAAAGGGGAGGAGGGGCAGCATAAAACCTTATCTAAACGCTGTATATGGCTTATTCGCAAAAGTGATCCACCAACAGACATACACACATATCGATTGATATAATGATAGAACTAAAAATCCGCACCCCCCCCTCCCGGGTGGCTCATCTCATTCGCACCCCTATATTACGTCATAGGAATGGCACAGTCTCGACTGACTAGGCCCTAACATCCTCCACAAGTCTTTATGCTGCTGACGCAAGCTTCAGATAAGTGGTGGTCACTGATCGCGATTCAACACTTCACGGGCCGCAAGAGTTTCGACTTTAGGTAAAGGTGATATGGGCGGCTGTCTAGCGCGGTATTTCAGGTATAGGTGATATTGGCGACTGTCTAGCGGTATTTCAGGTATAGGTGATATTGGCGACTGTCTAGCGGTGTATTTGTCAACTGGCGGGAAGTTCCAGCTGAATCAAAAACAAAAAAATTAATAAATTTATTATATTTTACGATAAGGAAGCGAACAAGAGAGGGATACATCAGGGAGTTCAATAAAGAGTGGGAGAGCTAAATCCTGTAGCAGTTATGGTGAAATTTTGTCTATAATGCTGCTACAAACTGATGCTTTGAAGCAGAAATTAAGTTTTTTTTTCGGTATAATTAAATATATATATGTATCTTTGTGTGTGTATATATATATATATATATATATATATATATATATATATATATATATATATATATATATATATATATATATATATATATATATATATATATATATTCTAAAAGATTTAAGGGGCTCTAGGATTAACTTTAGGAAGAAGTGGGGGGGGGGGCGGGATTTGTCCTTTACATTTTGGTGTGCTATTTTCGTCAATCTGCGGAGTTTTATTTTTCAAGCGAGGTGATGGAGGCAAAAATCTGTGCCCCCCCCCCCTTCCTTTTTTTGCTGGGTAGCACTAACTATAGCTATACCGCTGTATTGAACATTTTGATGACTAGACGATGCCAATCATTTCGAGAGTATGTTGCACTCGTTTAATTTGCTGACAAAACTTCACTAACTGCACCGCATGGGCTTTAGTGACGTGCAGTATATAAGGGAGTTGAACATATAAAAATCGCATTCAAGTTCGTTTACCATTGATTTGGTTATGATTTTGTTGTTATTTGACATCAATAGATCAGCGAAACGTTTCGAGAAAAAGACAAAAAACCTTGAATAAAAAAATATTTTACCAACTGAATTAATGAAACAACAAAGAAAATCCCCCCCCCCCCACATGCACACTGTCGCAGTCTCAAAGATGAAGTCTTCGTTAAAATCATTAAAGCCATTCAAACAGCGACATCGTTGGCACAAGATCTAGGAATCCTTTTCCTCTCACTGGAAAGACAGCTTAGATATAGTGGGGGGAGGGGGAGAAGGGACGATTTGAGATTTAAGATGATCCTAATCTTCACCCAGAAAATTATTTTGTAGTTGATTTCTTAGAACAGATTTTTTTTTTTTGGATACCGCTAATGTTTTTCAATGAATTATCGATTTTACAGTCACCACGTTACAGTGAATGATTGGGGTATTTGTATGACATTTGCAAAAACAAAAACAAAAATTTTTAATAATAGATCTTTAAAAAAAATATTTTAAAATAGGCAATTATAAATAAACACTGCCATGAATAGGAATTATAGTTTCTTTGCATGACTGAGCTTCTTAACCCCATTCCAAAGTGCATTATAATGAAATGCAAATTTCATCTGAAGCTCCAACTCAAAGTACGATTTTCTAAGCTTTGAATTAGCTGTTCGTCATATCAACCAAATTGAACTGTACTACAATCAAAATAAAAAAATGGATTTATCACCTAATTTACAATTTTAAATAAAGAAAATCCTAAAATCATCCAGAAAAATTTTATGTACGATATTCAAATGATCATAAGATACAGTGGTGTAGCTAGGGTTGGTATCACCCGGTGCGGTAAACTCATGGTTTCACCCCCCCCCCCTTTTTTTCCAACAAATCCCCTCCCAACTTCCATGATGGATTGCTTCTTGATTAAATAAGTCCATAGTATAATAAAGACAAAAACGAAATACATACGTTGAAGGTCAGGGAGTAAATGTATTTAAGAACTGTAGCAACGTTAAGTTATAGTTATTTTTACATTAAATTTAATTTATTTAAAATGTTCCTTTCCTGGTCTTCAAAGCTGCAAACCTGTCAATCAAAATCAATTTCCTTCACCTTATCTCAATTGATAGCAGAGCCAGATAAGAAAACCCTAGACTGTCCCATGGTGGATCTTAAATAGTTCTAGATAAGTCTTAGTTTTGAAAAGCTACGCTTACATGACATACTGAACATAAGAATCACTTGAAGGCTTAGCGAAAGTATTGGAAGAGATTCTAGGAAGTCCCATTCAGCTATGAATTTCAAAACATCCAATACTGACCAGTCCATGACTTTGTGAAATGGCCTACATATCCATTAAAATCGCTTTCTTCTTATTTTTTTTTCAGAATGGCCTGAAAACCTCCATGGATTCCAGAAATTGTGGCAGCAATCGTAACCTTGAGCTCTGCGCATTATTATGTCTAGTCCATCAAGTTTTAGATTTGTAAGAAGTCAGAACTGAGGTCATCAGCTTTTTTCCTCTTAACAGTAAAAGTGCAAGAAACACTTCTCTCACTTCAATTTTCACATTGTGGATTCTCACATATCTGATCACTTCAGCTATCTGGTCAGTGTGTCATATATCAGGTGTACTATCAAATATGATTCCAAAAGACCTCGTAGCCTTTACATCAATGATAAGAATCTCCTTCACGTGATTTGTAAGGGCATTTGTAAAATCATTATGGGTTTCTGCTGAAAGGTAAGAGGCGGAAGCTTTTACTGTAGATATACTCGTGTAGGTGCTCTTATAGCACTGGGTCATATTTAGATACCATCTCAGCCATTTCAAGAAAGTTTCCTTTATGCAGTGAAGATTCATCTTCGTTGTGGCCTAGAAATGCCAGCTTTTGCTTTGCAAGAAACAATGTGATTTCCAGTAATCTGTGCAGGATATCGCTCCACTTTTTCTTCTCCCTGCCCATCACAGCAATACTTTCGGCATCAATTGTTTTGTGTAGCCTAAATCCTGCTGCCAATACTTTCCACTTTTCAAAACAACATAGGTGCTCTTCCGATACTTCATGATTTTGTCATTTTGGGATCAGTTTCCACCAGGACTAAATTTGGATGCTGTTTCTGTAACATTAATAGCAAACAATCTGCAGCCAAAACAGGACAATTTCTGAGTGGCGAGTGAATAATCCATCCAAACGGCAGTATTTTTTCGTCATTTGGCATCATCCTGTAGAGCCATTGTTGTGTTATTTAGCGCACATCTCCTTTAGATTTCGCATCTGGCCTTGTCACTTCACTGAATGCCCCGTCCTTGTTCTCATACAGGCTTGGATGCTGGCCCACGTCATTGATGATTAGAGATATGAGAGTAGAGTTATGATTTGGTTTTGATTTTACTAAGATTACCATCATCTCTCAACAAATGAAAAAAAAATTGATAAGAGAATTATTTGAAATCCGCAAAGTTTTCTGACAATAGCTGAGTCTTTGTGGGTGACTTCGGGAGATCAGCACGGAGAGATAAATAACTCGTTTTTTAATCCTTTAATCCCACAGTGTCCAATAGGTTCTAAAAGCGACTTACATACACACTCGCATTGTGAAAGTCAATAAACTCTCAGGTGCTGAATCTAGAGATGTTAGAACAATGTTAAGATCATTAGTGCTTCCTTTTTGTTGTTTTTTAATGCGTAACATTCTGCCCTTGGTGCTAAAGTTTTTGTAATTTTTTTGAACAGTGAAACGCACGCACGTAACTCCGTTATAAATATGACGTTTATTTTACCCCTCTGGATGGTGAATAAAACCGATTGTGAAAATAAATAAAGAAAAATGAAATAATATATATATATATGAAAAAATACATTAATAAAATAATACATCAATGAAATAATACATCAATGAAACACTGCATGAATGAAATAATACATCAATGAAACAATACTAGCTAGATTCGACCTGTAGCACATCTACTACAATCCCTGACAGGGCACTGCAACCCATAAATTTTAAATATTAATTGGATTATTTATTTATTTTTTAATTTATTTATTTATTTTTTGAGTGGAAAAATTGACAATGATAACAATCTTAATATTTTCCTTTATAACCAGATTTGGCTCTACACATTTACTGGACTTAGGAGTGTTAAGATTCAACTTCTTATGTTTGCGTCCAGAGAGTGTGTAGAAAAATGTGCCACGTCGTCGGCTCCTTTAAGTCCACTATACTTTTGTCTGGTATAATGGTTTCGCCACACTAAGTAGATATTTTCCGTTGTTATCAGCATGTTCGACTCCAGTCTAGTCATAACTCTTCTACTGTTTGACCCATGTGACGTCATGTCTAAAACAGTTCCTCGTGTTGTGGTGACCACCAACCGTAAAATTATGTTCGTTTTCTACTTCATAAATATGTATTTTCCGATGGTTTTAGGCGACGCCAGTGTTAGAGAACCGCTTGTCTAGAGTGTAGAAGAAGAGAACCGCTGGTCTAGAGTGTAGAAGAAGAGAACCGCTGGTCTAGAGTGTAGAAGAAGAGATCCGCTGGTCTAGAGTGTAGAAGAAGAGATCAATCCATAAGACAAACCGAATTCAGCATTTTGTTTTTGTCAAAGCGAGAAAATATACGTATTCTTTTTAAACAAGAAGTTTTATTGTTTATTTATATACCATTTTTGAACTCTTTTATTACTTTGCGATTAAGGCATTTTTGTGTGCGTGTGTGGGGAAAGAAAAGAGGGGGGGGGGTCTTTTTAGAAGCCAAATTAATTCTAAATTACTTTATCTTGAAATCAACTAAAAAAAAACAACATTAACACTCTTAGAAATGTGCACATTTACGAAATTGAGTTAACGTTCTACTTATAAACTATACTAAATATAATCAGTTTTAATTTTCATCATTTGAATTGTGCACTTAAAACTTAATTAAAATTTATATACGATTTTTGAAGCCAACACAATTTTTTTTTTTTAAAGTATGGCGGCGTCCAGGGGCAAGCTACTCTGTCACTCCGTTTTTACCAAAATTTGGACGGACCTACACTGCAACTTACTTACTTCCCTCACCCCCCCCCCCTTACCCTCTAAAAAAAAAGCCAAAGTGATATCTCTCCTATGTCGTAAGACACAACCAGCCATGGTTTGAATGGTGTCACTGTCGTTCACCACCACACTCTGTATTAAAAAAATGGGCACCGACCCCTGTTGGCAGGTCTTCTCTTCCAACCACCTGCCTACGTGTCGTTGTTTGGCTTTTAGGTGCTTTTAAGAAACATATCGTGAACCCCCCCCCCTTTCCACCCAGATAAAATGGACATAATGACAATGCAGATAATAAACAAGACAATTAATGAATAAATATGGGGGATAAACAAATTAACGAATCCTGTCCGAATCTGGAAATAAAAAAAAAATTCTTCCAACCACCTGCCTACGTGTCGTTGTTTGGCTTTTAGGTGCTTTTAAGAAACATATCGTGAACCCCCACCCCCTTTCCACCCAGATAAAATGGACATAATGACAATGCAGATAATAAACAAGACAATTAATGAATAAATATGGGGGATAAACAAATTAACGAATCCTGTCCGAATCTGGAGATAAAAAAAAAAAACCACGAAATTCGAATCGAATATGACAGAAATTCAATTTTTTTTTCTTAATTGCCCTCCTGACCCGAATCCAAAATAATATAATCGATTGCAACGACTTTTCGGTCCGACCGCAATAAAAGAAAATACTCTAACGTCAACATTTTTTGTGTGTGTGTTTTAAGAATCGCCCTTAGACTGATTGGAAACGTACAGACGGAAAGATTACTATTTTTTTTTTCCTTCAATATTTCGGTTCTAAACATTTGTTAAGATGACTCAGCGTCATTGCGTACGTTAAGTGCACCCAGTTACCTGCTCCTGAAGTTTTCGTCATAGCGGAAATACGCCCCAATTCAAAACAAGAGACCACTCCACTTTACAGATTTACACCCAAATGAACCAAGACGCGTTCAGCAAACGCCTGAGCGGGGATCATTCTTTTCGAAAAAAAAATATATTTTTTTGAAAAAAGGTTATATTATTATTAATTTCTATTTTAAAAATAGATCAAAGTGTCTTTCACAACACGTGTCATATTCGAGGTGCAACTGTCATTTCTTTTATTTCTTGGTCTACCCCTGCCCACTCCTGCAATGACTAATTTATTATTTTTGTTTGTTTGTTTCTGTCGTAAAGAGAAATCAAACAGTTATCTTCTTGTAATTACCACGGCCTTTCAAGTTATCTTCTTGTAATTACCACGGCCTTTCAAGTTATCTTTTTGTAATTACCACGGCCTTTCAAGTTATCTTCTTGAAATTACCACGGCCTTTCAAGTTATCTTTTTGTAATTACCACGGCCTTTCAAATTATCTTTTTGTAATTACCATGGCCTTTCAAGTTATCTTTTTGTAATTACCACGGCCTTTCAAGTTATCTTTTTGTAATTACCATGGCCTTTCAAGTTATCTTTTTGTAATTACCACGGCCTTTCAAATTATCTTTTTGTAATTACCATGGCCTTTCAAGTTATCTTCTTGTAATTACCATGGCCTTTCAAGTTATCTTTTTGTAATTACCACGGCCTTTCAAGTTATCTTTTTGCAATTACCACGGCCTTTCAAGTTATCTTTTTGTAATTACCACGGCCTATCAAGTTATCTTTTTGTAATTACCACGGCCTATCAAGTTATCTTTTTGTAATTACCACGGCCTTTCAAGTTATCTTTTTGTAATTACCACGGCCTATCAAGTTATCTTTTTGTAATTACCACGGCCTTTCAATTTATCTTCTTGTAATTACCATGGCCTTTCAAGTTATCTTTTTGTAATTACCACGGCCTTTCAAGTTATCTTTTTGTAATTACCACGGCCTTTCAAGTTATCTTTTTGTAATTACCACGGCCTTTCAAGTTATCTTTTTGTAATTACCACGGCCTTGCAACAGATTTCTATCGATGATCTATGATTTATCATGAAGGAATCTTTTTTTTTTTAAAATCCATTATATCAAATTCGCTTTTGTTCGTGCGTTTGTGACAAAAATCTTCGGACGGCTCCTCGACCCACTTTTCGCCATCCTATCGAACTGAAACTCTGCACAAACTAGACTTTTTGCCGATCACAACACCATCCAGCAAATTTTCAGCGCCTTCCCCACCCCCCCCCCCCAAATCCCACAGAAACATGTTTGTTTTCCCCTAGTTTTTTTCAAGTAGAAGATGAATGAAATGTGATTTACTCCATGGGTGCGTGTTTTAATGAGGAGATTAATTGTGCAGCTGTTGCCATGCGCTTTTTTTATTTGTGACGTAGTTGGGTTTAAATATAGCATCAGTCTATTGGGTGTCACGTGCACTAAGTTTGATTTTTAAAAAAAACATGCACGCGCCAAAAATCAGTTTGTACAGTGACATTAATGATAATCACGTGCCTTTACATCAATGCAAACACAAATGCATATAAAGGAGTTCTACGAAAGACTATGTTTTTAGGTCTTGTTTAAATTTAATTTATTTACATTTAAATTGAGGTTATACAAACACAGTCGTGTTTCTCTTTAAAAATCATCGCGAGCCGACTGTACTCTGTGGGGTGTGAAATGTTCGTGTTTCATATCTGTCAAATGGCCATCGTACACGATTGACTTGCATGCACGGCAAAAGATGATGACCTAATGCAATTCTCCATCAAGGCAAGAGATAATGACCTAGTGCACCTCTCCATCAAGGCAAGAGATGATGACCTAGCGCACCTCTCCATTAAGGCAAGAAATGATGACCTAGTGCACCTGCTCATCTACGAGCCAGACGTCTTTTATAAGAAGGCTGTTCAAGACGGGTGTTTACGATCGACTACCTCAGTGGTAATGCATTTGTTTCAAGCAGTCTCTCACTCTAGCCAGTCTAGGGTACCGTGGCTTGTCTAGAGCTGCAGTGGAGTAGACTGCTCTTGGGTTGGCGAGGGATAGAGATGACGTCAGACTTTGTTAATGGAAATCCTTGAAAATGTATTTTTACGACTTTACCCGGGACCAGGGCCGGCCTTAGGTCACTCCAACCTGTGCGGCCGCAGTGGGCCCCGCATTTTTTTTTCTAATTCAAAATCTTAAATTTTCACTTATTATCCTTATCCCTGCCCAGACTGGGCCCCGCGCAATCCGTTTCGCATAGGGCTCCGCAATTGTTAGGGTCGGCCCGGACCGGGACTTTACAGTTCAACTTTCTTTTCTTTTCTCTTTCCTTTTCCGCGCATCTCACTACTGCAGAAGACAGAGGACTAGTTTACTGACAGATGATGCGTAATGCATTTTATTAAACTTCACTTCAAATTCGAATACCCGTTAAAATTTGTTCACTTTTTTTCAGAGGTAATGAATATCATTTTGAGGCTCAGAATTCAAACATTGATTTTAAAAAAAACAGTACACAACAAAAGACGATACCATATCTTAAATACAAGAACAAAGAATATGATACTCAAAACAGGACGAACCAAAGTTAATAAATTGTATTAAGTAAATAATAAATTACAAAAATCAAAAAGAAATATAATTAAAGCTATTGACTTACAGTATAAGGATTGGCTTGTACCGGTGCAATGTTGAAGAAGATACAATGTTGTAAAAAGGTACAAAGGTGAACAAATCTACACACATTCAGTAAACAAATCTCTCGTTTCGTAGCCAAGCTCTATAGCCAAAATAGCACACGCTCAAAATAACTCTCGTCTGATCTGCCTCCTGTCGCTCAATCTATAGGTGTTTATGTAGCCTGTTGCATGGATACTTCTCGAAACGGACTTGCGCATTGTATTCCTTTCTCAATCCTTCTGCATAATTCTACAGAATTCTAATAATAATACCCAGACCATAGATTTTAGTTAGTCGTAACTGAGTTCACTGGAGACTATATTTAGTTAGCCACACCCTAACTGCGCTGCCGAACTTGGGGTCAGCTTAAGTTCATTCACCAGGAAAGAAAATGGAAGTACTCGAGACGCCTCTGGCACTGTTATTGAACTAAATAATATTTAAACGAACATTTCACCGTCATGCTTTCAATAGTTAACCCCTTGAATTGTTCTGTTTGTTGCTTCAGTAGTTTTAAACATAATTATTTTCTTATATACTAAAAAAATAAGGGGGAAAGGGGTGGGGGGACGCCAAAAAATGGCGGCGGAAATGCGTGAACGTCCCATATAACTCAAAGTCTTCAACAAAATCACGCATTCAAGTCACGAACTATATGATGAGCGCAGTTACAGCAAACTTGTGTGGACTCTATTTTGCACGCCTATTTATCAAAGTGTTACAGCCATACGAACGTGCCTAGAAAATTATTATTTGTGATTTTAATTGCCATAAAAGGTGTACTTTGTTGATCTTAATGGCAAGATAGTGTACTTTGTTGATCTTAATGGCAAGATAGTGTATTTTGTTAATCTTAATGGCAAAATAGTGTACTTTGTTGATCTTAATTGCAAAATGGTGTACTTTGTTGATCTTAATGGCAAAATAGTGTACTTTGTTGATCTTAATGGCAAGATAGTGTACTTTGTTGATTTTAATGGCAAAATAGTGTACTTTGTTGATCTTAATGGCAAGAAAGTGTATTTTGTTAATCTTAATGGCAAAATAGTGTACTTTGTTGATTTTAATGGCAAAATAGTGTACTTTCTTGATCTTAATGGCAAAATAGTGTACTTTGTTGATCTTAATGGTAAGATATTGTACTTAGATGATCTTTATGGTAAGATAGTGTACTTTGTTGATCTTAATGGCAAAATAGTGTACTTTGTTGATCTCAATGGCAAGATAGTGTACTTTGTTGATCTTAATGGCAAAATAGTGTACTTTGTTGATTTTAATGGCAAAATAGTGTACTTTGTTGATCTTAATGGCAAAATAGTGCATTTTGTTGATCTTAATGGCAAAATAGTGTACTTTGTTGATCTTAATGGCAAAATAGTGAACTTTGTTGATCTTAATAGTAAGATAGTGTACTTAGTTGATCTTAATGGCAAAATAGTGTACTTTGTTGATCTTAATGGCAAAATAGTGTACTTTGTTGATCTTAATGGCAAGATAGTGTACTTTGTTGATCTTAATGGCAAGATAGTGTACTTAGTTGATCTTAATGGCAAAATAGTGTACTTTGTTGATCTTAATGGCAAAATAGTGTACTTTGTTGATCTTAATGGCAAGATAGTGTACTTTGTTGGTCTTAATGGCAAGGTAGTTTACTTTGATGATCTTAATGGCAAAATAGTGTACTTTGTTGATCTTAAGGGCAAGATAGTGTACTTTGTTGATCTCAATGACAAGATAGTGTACTTTGTTGATCTTAATGGCAAAATAGTGTACTTTGTTGATCTTAATGGCAAGATAGTGTAATTTGATGATCTTAATGGAAAAATTGTGTACTCTGTTGATCTTAATGGCAAGATAGTGTACTTGGTTGATCTTAATTTGCAAGATAGTGTACTTTGTTGATCTCAATAGCAAAATAGTGTGCTTTGTTGATCTTAATGGCAAGATAGTGTACTTTGTTGATTTTAATGGCAAAATAGTGCACTTTGTTGATCTTAATGGCAAGATAGTGTATTTTATTAATGTTATTGGCAAAATAGTGTACTTTCTTGATCTTAATGGCAAAATGGTGTACTTTGTTGATCTTAATGGAAAAATGATGTACTTTGTTGATCTTAATGGCAAGATAGTGTACTTTGTTGAACTTAATGGCAAAATAGTGTACTTTGTTGATCTAAATGGCAAAATAGTGCACTTTGTTGATCTTAATGGCAAAATAGTGTACTTTGTTGATCTTAATGGCAAAATAGTGTACTTTGTTGATCTTAATGGCTAAATAGTGTACTTTGTTGATCTTAATGGCAAAATAGTGTAATTTGTTGATCTTAATGGCAAGATAAGGTATTTTGTTGATCTTAAAGACAAAATAATGTACTTTGTTGATCTTAATGGCAAGATTGTGTACTTTGTTGACAAGGGATACAAGAAATGTAAGAATATATATAACATTTTTTTATTGACATAAATAAACTGGATTTTATTATCCACATGAATAAATTGGATTTTGTTCAACCAACATAATTGGAAACCAATGAAATCGTCCTGCTTTCATTACCCCCCCCCCCCACCCCAACTTTCTATCACTAATACAGTGATTCTCAGCTGTGCGTCATGTACCCCCGAGCGCCTATAGCTACCAGGAGCTTCTAGGAGGGCGATCCAAATCTTCCTCCGCGATAACGAAAATTATCATTTGCCGAGAAAAAATTGTGACGATAAAAATAAAAATAAATGATAAATAAAACTAACAAAGATTTCGTGTCATCTTCCATTGGGGTACATTAATTGTTAAACGTGTGAGAACCACTCCCTTAACACACCACAAAAAATGTGTTGTAAGCTTATTAAATCATCGTCGGCATAAAAAAAGAGGCTTCAATTATATGTTGTTAGCTGACGTATCTGTAATTCAGGCCTGGCCTGTGGCCGGAACAAATGCCATCACGTGTACTTCAGGTTAATTCTATTACAGTGGTCATCCCTTGCAGAATTTCTTAATAGCTGGATAACAGAGATATGATGTAACCTCGCTCGATTTGCTTTGAAGCCCTTGATTTCAGCCGGGTAAATTTGAAATTCATGGGGACGTGTAAGGCATTAAATATTTGCCGCCCTTAAATAATCATGTATATTTTTGGGATGATTGTTTTATGAAGAGCTTAAGGTAAGTGCATGACGTAAGTAGAGGTACAGAGAGGCGGAGAGTTGTACACAGAGGCGTAGTGATGTACAGAGAGGTTTAGTTATGTACACAGAGGCGTAGTTATGTACACAGAGGCGTAGTTACGTACACAGACGCGTAGTTATGTAAAATGAGGTGTAGCTATGTACACATATGCGTGGTAATTTACACAGAGGCGTGGTAATTTACACAGAGGCGTGGTAATGTACACAGACGTGGAATCGTGTACTAGCGATGGAATGGGGGTAATAAGAAGTTTACGCAATAGTGGAATAGTTTACACAGAAGTTGAATAATGTACACAAAATGGAATAGCGCAGACACCAAAAAAGAATGGAATGATGCATACGAAAAATAAATAATGTGCACGGAAGTGGAATAAATGTACACAAAAATGGAATAATGTACACAGCAAGGGAAATAACTTACGAAGAAAGGGAATGAATGAACGCTAAAGTGAAGGGACGTAAATCAGCTCAGAGAGCGTCAGACTTGTTTAACTCAGAGATGGGGGGTGGGGGGAATGGGGGGAAGGGGGGGCCACGTCTCTTCCTCCGTTAGAATCATTCAAAGTCTTCCACAAAGCTGACTCCAGGGAAGGTCATTACCATGACTAGTGTTGAAGTGGCGTTATTGGAGTTAGTGCCGCCCGGGGCGGGGAGGCGCTTTTTGCCACCCCATTTCCATAAAAAATTATGCCAATAAGTGAAAATGCCACCCCCTTAAACATAAAGGTAAAAATGTGACGCCCGGGGTTGATCTCGCGCCCCCCCCCTTTTGCACCCCTTCCTACCCCAATGCTTGTTTGCGAAGACGAGACTTGTTCAATGCGTTTTACTAAGATGGGGGTTGGGGGAGGGGGGTGACCCAACAACCGGTGAAAAAAGAAATAGGTACAACGTATAGTTTTTGAGAAGATATTAAAATAACCCTTACGTATGCCTCTTTCTCTCTCTCTTTCTCTCTCTCTCTCTCTCTCTCTCTCTCTCTCTCTCTCTCTCTCTCTCTCTCTCTCTCTCTCTCTCTCTCTCTCTCTCTCTCTCTCTCTCTCTCTCTCTCTCTCTCTCTCTCTCTCTCTCTTTCTCTCTTTCTCTCGCTCTCTCTAAATATCTCTCTCTATTTTTCTTCCTTCTTCAAGTATTTTCGCTTCACACGTAGTAAGTCTTGTGTAAAATCTGGGCTTCCTTGATCAATGCCCGATGTATTAAACATTTTGAATACATTTATTTACGCTAATCTCCATAATCCGAGGTAATCCGTAACATAATGTGACGTCTCTCTAAGTAAGCCCTCCCTGAATATCAGAACTGCAGATAAGCACTCTATGTAGCCAAAGGAGTCGAACTGAAAGTGGATGAGACCTACATTTCAACGTGTTTTTGTATTAATTTTTTTTAAATATTTTCTGCACACACTTTCTCTGCATTATGCGTTTTAAGAAATTGTAAAATATTTTCTACTTTTTAGTGCGTTTTGATTGTTTTATCTTTGTTGGCTGTTGTTTTTTGTTGATAGCCAGTATTTTATTCTAAGTTTTTATTATTTTATTATATATTTTCTAATGGTTAGTATTTAAAATTGCAAGCTTAAAATTAACGCATAAAACTAAAAAAAAAAAAAAAAAAAAAAAAAAAAAAAAAAAAAAAAACAAAAAAAAAAAAAAAAAAAAAGGAGATCTGAGCTCATGCACCCACCCACCCGCTCGGTCAATAAATCAGACGAGGTCAACCACGATCATTTGAACCACAGTTTCAAACCGTAGCTATCGATCCAGTATTCTTTTCCAGCCGTTCGCCGGATGAACACTGCACGAGAAATGCTAAAACTTTACATGTGTGCCAAACAAACAAGTTACGTTCCATGAGAAGGAAATGAGTGTAGAGAGAAAACCCTATGGCAATAATTAATCGGCTCGCATCAGTGAACACGGCATACGCTTCACAGAAGTTTCTCACTGAAATTTTAGTTTGCATCCATCACAGCCTCATTGTACCCAAGAGCAAAGGTCAAGTTAATACGAAATCTATTTCAACCCCCCCCCCCCAACTGCAAATAAATTACAAAAAAACACACAAAAAAAACGGATAGTGTTGAGTAATGGAATGATGCTATGAGCCTTTTTTCGTTACCTATATTAAATTAGGGCAAACTTGTTTTTCGTCAGATTCTATACTGTCATCATGGCACATCCTACACTGAAATCAGATTCTATACTGTCATCACATCCTACACTGAAATCAGATTCTATACTGTCATCACATCCTACACTGAAATCAGATTCTATACTGTCATCACATCCTACACTGAAATCAGATTCTATACTGTCATCAGATTCTATACTGTCATCACATCCTACACTGAAATCAGATTCTATACTGTCATCCCATCCTACACTGAAATCAGATTCTATACTGTCATCACATCCTACACTGAAACCAGATTCTATACTGTCATCAGATTCTGCACCGTCATCACATCCTAAACTGCCATAAGATGTTATATCAGCATCAGATCGTATGCTGACTCACATGCTCGTTTGACAGCTTTCTTTTTATTCTTCTTCGGGATTTTTTTTGTTTATTTTGAGGATGCAAGAAACCAGACTTCTACGGTGTCAAATTGGAGATTTGAAGTTCAAGTTTTAGGATGCTATAGTTTGGATGCTGTATTACCACCACACGTCTTCGGGGGTTCCTCAAATAGTTAGATAACAATGCTACAAGGCCCCCGCTGACTTGAAGAAGATGTGCCTCACGTATGGAGTCGCTATCAGACCTCCTCGGATTATTTTATTAAATACAGCCGATGCGAAGACCTTTCCGAACAGTGATCCTCAAAGTGGGCGGTACCACCCCCGCAAAGGATGGTGGGATTGCTCAAGGACTGCTCAAATGATTAGGAATTTTTAAAGGGTTTGGTTTTGGGGAAGGGGGGGGGATTTCATTTCAAATTAAAATTATACATTTGAAAGATTAAAGACTAAACTGTTTCTATTTCTTAGAATTAAAAAAAAAACGAGTCAGAGATTTTCTTCACACACAATAAGGAGGTGGTAACACAATGAAGCTACCTTTCAAACAGAAGAAACAGTGACTATGGTTAGTGGCGCCCTGGGGGGGGGGGGGGGGGACAAGTATTGTTCCGCACAACTTTCACGGAAAAACTTTGCAGCAAGCCGAAAAGCCAGCACCTTTAAATAAGGGGGAAAAAAGGGGTCACCTGACGTGGACCGTCCCCGCTGCACCCTCTACCTATGCCACTGGTGGGGGGGGGTGATAAATCGATACATCGTGGTTTAAAGCAGTTCGACAAAGACCAGAACACTGCGTTGAGTAACATAATATTACTATTGACGGACCACAATCAGTGACTAGTTTGCATGTGTAGAATTTTACTTATTCGAAATAGAAATAGCAATAGAAATGTAACTGAAAATATGACAAGGAATAGAAACTAGTTTTTTTAAAAACTTAAGCGTTCGCCACTGTTATTGCCGGAGGTTGAATAGTTTCATTCGTCCTGTCTGCTGAGGAAGGCTTTAGCTGCTCCTTTCTTGCCCCGTCTTTCGACTCTATCATCCACATGCCTCGTTCCACTATTTCCTTGACACAGCGTGTACGAAGTCCTAATGTGATTACCCCTTACTCCGGTATTCAAGCGCAGTGTTGTCCCCTTTCGGGTCAATACTAATTTCAAAGCCCGTTCGAGCCAAAAGAGAATTTTAAAAAAATGAAATGCAAGATCTTCATCTGCAAGCATTTTGTGACCATGCATATTATTTTCATAAAGAAAGTTAAAGAACGTGATTTTAAGTTTCTTTTTGCTATGATTGTTATACTTTTTTTGTTTTAAATCACATTTTGGAGTGATAAATATTTATATTTAGTATGGACAAAGTTCGTCAAGTGTAGAAGGGTCTAATTCGATCGAAAATCATTTTAAGATAACGATGACAAAGCACAGGAAATGGTTCCCAAGAGTTTTGCTTTTATTAGTAATTTTTGGAAACAATGAGATAGCATAGAGATATGAACATACTGAATTAATTTTCTTCTAAGGGCCTTCAGTCCCAGACGTTGAAAACAAAACCTTCCATTATCTGACCAGGCCTGAGTGTAGATAGCGTATTACGTTTACAGGAATCGATCAGTGGAGAAGGAACGCGATAGAAGCTCTCGCTAAACGATTTTAATTAAAAATACGTTGTTAAGATGAGTTATCAGGTCATTAATTAAAATTAGCAATAATAAAATTCAAATTAAAGTTCTATTTGTAATTGTGATTAGTTTTACACTTAAACAATAAATTGTGTATTATCTTCTATAGTGGATGTTGTGCTATACTTTATTTTAAGAATGCTTATAATAGGTTAAATCATGGGGGAAGGGGGGAGGGGTGAGCGTTGAGGATGAGTCGATGGCTTAAAGGCCGTCCTTGCCGACCACAGATTGAAGACCACTGTTTCAGAACGTCGTTTCATCCGCTTTGGAAATGCTCCCAGATGTTCGTTGAACTATTTCTGTCGCATTCTGATTGGTAGTTGCAGAAGAACTTTTCCCAGAATGTATAAACGTACTTTGTATTTACAGTGAAGGGTGAAAAAATATTAGGTGTTCAACCCACCATCACCCATATGTCACCCATAGTTTATATGTGTCTCCCATAGTTCCTATACCTCCCATAGTCTATATGTCTCCCATAGTTTATATGTCTCCCATAGTTTCTATATCTCCCATAGTTCATATACTTCTGAGCAGTACTCAACTGATCAAATGTCCGCATTCTTACTGAGTAAGATCAAACTCGGATTGCCTGTCATAAATTTGGGCTTACGGACAGGCTACTCTGTAAGTCTAGGCGTACAACTGGGAGAGGGAATTCTAATAGCTGACCTGAGTTTGTATGTCTGGTCTTGCGGTTACAAATCAACCTTAACGGGTAGAAAAAAATGGAATCCACTATTTAATTATTTTTTTTTTTAAATAAGGTAATACACTTTAACGATATTTTCTGTTCATGATAGTCTGAAAATATTTCCATATTGTTAATAAAAAGGGAGAACCCCAGACTGCAGAAGTTTCAGACTTCGCTGTCTGATATGGGTTTTTTTTTCTCGGAAAATTGGAAATTTAGGCTGAATATGCGAATAATTATAATAGATAGCTTGCGTTTTCTTACACCCCTACAGGATTTCATACGTGCAATCTACACGCAAGTTTATACATGTTACCTGGCTGTATAGATTAATCAGATTCTGTCAGGTTTTAAACCGAGAAGGGGGCTTAGGAAATCGAATAGCAAATAGTCGTATTTTCATTTATCTTGTCTGCAGAGGAAGGCTTCTAGCCGAAACGTTCTTATCCCATAGTCCTGTCTTTCGATTCAAACGTGTGCTTCTCACAGCTTGATCGCAGTCCTTCATTTATTACCTTTAGAAAATGCACTCTAAGAGAATTATTTGAACTTTTATTCTTAATGAACGTTCTTTTCTATCCAGGAAGCTTGCCATAAAATTGGTGATGAGAGATGTTTCAGACCACAATTCCAGTTAAACGGCTTAAGATTCAGATCTTTTTCTCTTACTTTCGAATTTTTTCCTTAAAATATTGTGTAATAATGATTAAAGAGATTAAATATTCTCTCAACGGGGCGGGGGGGGGGGTGGGCGTGGGGAGCAAGTCTATCCACCTGAGACAGACTTTAATTTGTATGCAGACGCTGCCGTCAGAACACACATTAATCAAAGTTGCCGAGTTGCCGTCCGGGGAGTTAAAGTTGAACAGTTTGATCGATATCAGACTCATAAAATCTAATTGTAATTCCGAATGTACTATTAACATATTATTAACATAATTCCCGGAGAAATAAAAATAATATCTGACGTGAATATTGCTTCTGTTTCCGTCCCTGGACGAACATTTTTTTAACGTGTTAATTCTATGTTCATGTTAATTCGGAGTTTGGAACCGAACCGTGAAATGAGACGGTAACACACTGCGTATTTCACTGACCATCACATTATGACGTACGCTTTGATCATCTCTCGAGAGAGAGTACCAACCAGTCTAGACGAACACACTATTCACAGACGAAGCGCAGCTCTGGAGATTTTGAGAGTGCCACTGGGCACATGCCGACGTGGCTGCTGCATCGGGATCAAGATGATGCTGTTGCTGTTGTTGTTGCTGCTGCTGTTGTTGTTGTTTAAATGTAGACATCTTTGAGAATAGAAATCTAAATTTGATACATGTCTCAAGAAAATAGTAAACGAATGCTTGTACACGCATACGGACCAGGACGAGTACGAACTCCTGTAGAAATTTACTAGGGACCACAAGGCAAGAAGAGGCCCATTGAGGTTCGTGGCCGTCTTAACATGAACTTGGGACTATGGGCCCTTTAATGTAACGTGCACCCTCTCCCGTCCGCCCCCCACCCCAATGGCTCTCTAATTCACTCGGGTAATTTTTGGATAAGCTTTTGGAGACCAGGTTGACTTATGAGTTATGGCCAGTGTTTTCTACCATATCATACGAGGGGACAGGGTGCAGTTTTCATGCATTAGTGGGAGGAGGGCAGGGCATCTATCAGAGATAAAATGAGGCGGTATGACGCCTAGGGGGGCACTTTGTTTCCGTCAGGTTGTGGCGCCCCCGAGGGTATTCTTTTGCTCTGGGGTATGTTTCGCCACCCGGCTTCTATGCAGTCCAACTATTTACACCAAACGAATCAGTTGTTGTTGTTATTTTTGTGTGGTCATTTCAAGAAAATCAAGTTGCCGGTGTTATCTCTTGACCATGAAGGGAGCTAAAACTGAAGACGCCGCCAAAGGTTCCTGAGCGACGATGGGGGGTGAGGTCTGGAAATTTTGATCAATCAAAATACATGGCGCTTACCTCCTAAATGTCGCTTTGCTTCATTCTACACTACCCACGCTCGTGAGCAAACTCGCTCGGTGAGTGAAAGGAGAGATGCCAATGAAAATTTAGACGTCCATCGACCTGGCTGCGTTGATACAAAACTTTATTATTTTTTTTTTTTATTTGTTTCGAAATAGTAATGCCGTTTTTCTTTTTGAATAGAAAGTATTCAAACTTTTTTTTTTTTGATGTTCAAAGAACTTCATTAATAAATCATTTATCTAAAAAATAGTTATCCCGCCCTCTCCCAACACACAAGAAACTTGCTGCTAATACCATTAAATATGCTGGTCTAACTGGGGAAATATAAAAACAACCCTTAAATAACCCTTTTCACATTCAGTTGAAATTGAAATATTTCCACGTTCTTCCAGAGGTTTAAAAAAAAAATAATAAAAAAATTATGTTATCCATAACTGGTCATTAGATTTCTTTTCTATAACTATTGAAAAACTGGTTGTTTTTTTTCCTTCTAAAAAATTGTTTATGAATGAGGAAATTGTGTCAAGGATATAGCAGTAATTTAAACGATCGTCGAAGATTTAAAATGTGGCTTTGATCTGAGTGAAGATAATGCAACTTTACTTCCGCCATAATTTAGTAGATTCAAAGGTTTATTTGGAATTTCAAACGACTCTACATTTCTTCAGTTGAATTACTATGAACCCATGGCACCCATTGAAAGACTCTTCTATTTTAACAAATTTCCCACAAAACCCCTTGAACTATAAACATTAAGGATTTAAACAAAATATTTTTTTCTCTGGAAAGATGAGAACAAAATGGAGTTGATTTAAAAGTCCAAATACGTGCCCACAAAACGTTGGGATGTACGTCTAAATTCAAATTTCAAAGGAATTCAAATTTTCAAATCGTATCTCGTTATGCATTACGGTTTTTAAAAAATGAGCATCATGATGACCCTAGAATCGCGAGGCCCCTATAATCGCGAGGCCCCTAGAAGTGCGAGCCCCTAGAATCGCGAGGCCCCTAGAATCGCGAGGCCCCTAGAATCACGAGGCCCCTAGAATCGCGAGGCCCCTAGAATCGCGAGACCCCTAGAAGCGCGAGGCCGCTAGAAGCTTGATGCCTTGTGCAACTGCCCAGTGTTCACATGTCTTAAGACAGCGGTTCTCAGCCTGTGGGTCGCGACCCCTTTGGGGGTCGTGCGACCCTTTCCCAGGGGTCGCCTAAGACCATCTGAAAACACATATCCTTACAGCTATGAAGCAGCAGCACATATAATTGTGTGGCTGGGGGTCACCACGACATGAGAAATTGTATTGAAGGGTCGCGGCACCAGGAAGGTTGAGAACCACTGCATTAAGACGACACTGCATGGGGTAAAATTAATAGATATGTTTAAAAAAATCGATTTTAAGATCGCGACACTTTTATCAACATTGAAATGAAAGACTAAATTAATTTAGGTAAGTGTGTTATCAGTCTATTGGAACATGGTTAACTGAGCCATTAATGAATTGTGCACTGTGAATATATTTTAAAAACTGGATGGATTTATTTTGTCTTCTTAATTACATCCCAATATACTGCTTGGAACAATCTAATGTACCACCTGGAACAATCTAATGTACCGATTGGAACAATCTAATATACAGATTATAAATATGTAATTTATACCGTATGGAGCAATCTAATGTACCGCTTTGAACAATCTAATGTACCACTGGAACAATCTAATGTACCACTTGGAACAATCTAATGTACCACCTGGAACAATCTAATGTACCGCCTGGAACAATCTAATGTACTGCCTGGAACAATCTAATGTACCGCCTGGAACAATCTAATGTACCGATTGGAACAATCTAATGTACAGAATATAAATATGTAATTTATACCGTATGGAACAATCTAATGTACCGTTTTGAACAATCTAATGTACTGCCTGGAACAATCTAATGTACAGCTTGGAACAATCTAATGTCCACCTGGAACAATATAATGTACCGCCTGGAACAATCTAATGTACCACCTGGAACAATCTAATGTACCACCTGGAACAATCTAATGTACTGCCTGGAACAATCTAATGTACCGCTTGGAACAATCTAATGTACCACTTGGAACAATCTAATGTACCACTTGGAACAATCTAATGTACCACTTGGAACAATCTGATGTACCGACTGGAACAATCTAATGTACTGCTTGGAACTTTATAATGTACCGCCTGGAACAATCTAATGTACCGCTTGGAACAATCTAATGTACCATCTGGAACAATCTAATGTACCATATGGAACAATCTAATGTACCGCTTGGAGCAATCTAATATACCATCTGGAACAATCTAATGTACCGACCGGAACAATCTAATATACCGCTTTGAACAATCTAATGTTCTGCCTTGAACAATCTAATGTACCGCCTGGAACAATCTAATGTACCGCCTGGAACAATCTAATTTATCGCCTGGAACAATCTAATTCCACGCCAAGACCGTAACAACTATGAAGTTTAGGGGGACATTTATTCTTACATTTTTTAGTCAAAAGTGTTCTTTTTTTTTAAAATTTATTTCTTTTTTAAAATTATTTTGAAAAGGAAAATGTGTTTTACTTTTTTACTTTAAGTCTCAAATTTTCAAAGTTAAGATGCAATATTTGAACCGCAGATGTCACTAAAAGATTAGTGAAAGACACCGGTGAAGTACTTTTCAGGAAGGGTCACATTGTCATCAGGGGGCGTGGGTTGGTAGGGGGGGGGAGGGGGACACAGTTTCAGGCCAATTTGAGATCAGGAAGTGGGTCAAAGTTATGATGCCAGCTTTGACCCAGACAATCAGACAAACTGGACAAAAATCGCAAGCTAAATAAAGGTGAGAAACAACAATCATCAATTAGTACTGCTATGTCCACTGTCAGATTTCATCTGGGGTCTGGGGGTGAGTGTGACAACAGTCATTAATTAGTACTGCTATGTCCATTGGCGGATCTCATATGGGGTCTGGGGTGAGTGTGACAACAATCATCAATTAGTACTGCTATGTCCACTGGAGGATCTCATCTGGGGTCGGGTGTGAGTGTGACAACAATCATCAATTAGTACTGCTATGTCCACTGGAGGATCTCATCTGGGGTCGGGGGTGAGTGTGACAACAATCATCAATTAGTACTGCTATGTCCACTGGAGGATCTCATCTGGGGTCGGGGGTGAGTGTGACAACAATCATCAATTAGTACTGCTATGTCCACTGGAGGATCTCATCTGGGGTCGGGGGTGAGTGTGACAACAATCATCAATTAGTACTGCTATGTCCACTGGAGGATCTCATCTGGGGGTCAGGGGTGTATGCAGGGCCGGCGCCAGAGTATAAGGCACCCTAGGCTGACCTGTCGCACTGTGCCCCCCACGCCAACGGTAACTAATTATTAAATTAATAGTGCCGCCCCCTAAAAATTTGCCACCCTAGGCGGCCGCCTAGTTCGCCTAATGGTTAAGCCGGGCCTGGGTGTATGTGTGTGTAACAACAATCATCAATTAGTACCACTATGTCCACTGACGTATCTCATTGGGGGTTAAGGGGTGGGGAATTGGAGGGCATGGGATATTCTACTAGTAAAACTAAAAGACGAAACATGAAAGCTGAAATAGTATCAAGTTTAAAAGAGAAAATGAGCTGCTTGAACAAAAGTTCATAGGCACACTTTTAACTTTCCTGAAGATGAGTTTAACTTTCTTGGGATAAAGTTTTTTTATAAATTATTTTTTGTACTCTCCATTTTTTTAGGGCTGGAGGCGGTTTTCAAACCAGATTTTTGTCTGAACTGTTAAATGTCCTTTTACAGCTGATGAATTGTCCTCAATGTTGCAATTCTTTGCATTCACATAAAGTAGCTTTTTAAAGACTCTCTGAACTAGGCCGTCAATGTAATAGTACTTGGCTCCGTTTCACAAACGAATTATACCTTTCTCTGAGGAAAATGTGACAGAAGAAATTTAGTTCATTTTCCCCAGCTCTATTTTTTTTTTTTAAAGTTATATATTCTTTCCTTTTATTTCCTTTCTTTTGCAGAAAATTTGACAATAACCCCCCCCCCCCCAACCCCCATCCCAAATATCTACTCCAATCTTTTTTTTTTTTAAATAAAAATGATCGCTTTCGTAACTTGACTTCGTGTGAAAGCCGTCGTTTGTTATAATGTCCTCTGTAACTTGACTTCGTAAGAAAGCCGTCGTTTGTTAGAATGTTCTCTGTAACTTGACTTCGTATGAAAGCCGTCGTTTGTTACAATGTTCTCTGTAACTTGACTTCGTATGAAAGCCGTCGTTTGTTACAATGTTCTCTGTAACTTGACTTCGTATGAAAGCCGTCGTTTGTTATAATGTTCTCTGTAACTTGACTTCGTATGAAAGCCGTCGTTTGTTATAATGTTCTCTGTAACTTGACTTCGTATGAAAGCCGTCGTTTGTTAGAATGTTCTCTGTAACTTGACTTCGTAAGAAAGCCGTCGTTTGTTAGAATGTTCTCTGTAACTTGACTTCGAATGAAAGCCGTCGTTTGTTATAATGTTCTCTGTAACTTGACTTCGTAAGAAAGCCGTCGTTTGTTACAATGTTCTCTGTAACTTGACTTCGTATGAAAGCCGTCGTTTGTTATAATGTTCTCTGTAACTTGACTTCGTAAGAAAGCCGTCGTTTGTTACAATGTTCTCTGTAACTTGACTTCGTAAGAAAGCCGTCATTTGTTACAATGTTCTCTGTAACTTGACTTCGTATGAAAGCCGTCGTTTGTTAGAATGTTCTCTGTAACTTGACTTCGTATGAAAGCCGTCGTTTGTTAGAATGTTCTCTGTAACTTGACTTCGTATGAAAGCCGTCGTTTGTTACAATGTTCTCTGTAACTTGACTTCGTATGAAAGCCGTCGTTTGTTACAATGTTCTCTGTAACTTGACTTCGTAAGAAAGCCGTCGTTTGTTAGAATGTTCTCTGTAACTTGACTTCGTATGAAAGCCGTCGTTTGTTTCAATGTTCTCTGTAACTTGACTTCGTATGAAAGCCGTCGTTTGTTACAATGTTCTCTGTAACTTGACTTCGTAAGAAAGCCGTCGTTTGTTAGAATGTTCTCTGTAACTTGACTTCGTAAGAAAGCCGTCGTTTGTTACAATGTCCTCTGTAACTTGACTTCGTATGAAAGCCGTCGTTTGTTACAATGTCCTCTGGAATGACTGGTTTCGTGCGAGTCGGTTATATTTGACTATCCACAAAAGCAACAAGCAAAGAAAAAGAATTACATAAAGACATGAAGTGTCGCAACAGTATTCCTCAGGTTCGAGGGTGACTTTTAACACTGCCTTCATCGGCAAAGTCAATTATCAGTCATTTTTTTTTTATGACTGTGTCATTTTAAAGTAGTTTACGATTTTCGGCTGTGTCTGTTAGTTTAAACTCACCATCGACGAACTCTGTTTCCGGAAACTGCGTGATGAACAAGATGGGCAGAGCGCCGAGAAGAGATGTCAGCCAGATAGCCAGGAACGATTTGAAGACACTACAGATGCTGGCTGTCGGGGGCGTGGACTTGTAGGCCACGCGATGGCGCTCAACGCTGATGGCGAGTATGGTCACGACGCTGGCGTTTCCCACGACGTTTTCCAGGAGGGTGACCAGCTGGCCTGGTGGTCAAAATAATAAAAAAGATAAAATGATTGATTTGGCGTAAACGACTTACAATAAAATCAGCTACGTTGCCCCTCTTTTCTACCAGATAAGTTGTCCCCACTCTTCTTATGCAATGTTGCCCCTTTCTTCTAACAGCTGTATTGCCGGTACGTGCATTTCAAATGCCTCGTTAATAAAATGGATGAAAATATTAACCAAATTTTTTTTTTTAAATTGAACACATCTTTAAACACTTAGCACGCCCTTAACCCAAGCTCGGAGCAGAGCTGGAGCAAAGTTGGGGAAGAGCGAGAGCAGAGGATGAGCAGGGTGCTGGAGAAGGGTGGAGCTGACAAAAAATTCCGGAGTGGAACTGGAGAGGAGCTCGTCCCAAAAAAGCTGCATTCCAAATCTCTTATTTAAGCACTTGAAAATTCTGTATTTGTAGACGACGAACACCCTTTGGGTTACAGACACTTTGGAATTGATCAGTGCACCGGCACTATATGCTACGATGCTTGAAACAAACGGCATCATTTACAATTAATAATGAGCTGTTGGGAAAAATAATGTTTCCCTCATTGACACCTTTATGGCAGCTCATTGTTGATATCGATTTGTAAAGTGAGACAGCAAATTTATCCTCAGTAAAAGCTTGAAAACATGAAATGAAGCCAATTTGTTTTGATGAGGGTGGATGACTTTACGACGTGTTCAAAACTGAGCACATCAAAAACATACTCTCAACGCTCTGGAAAAAAAACAAACAATTCTGTCGCACTCGAGTCGGAGAAACTCGTTGAGAAGACGCAAGTGTTGACGTCAGGGCACATCTAAAGTGCTCGGAAGGGGCGAGAAGACCCGCGGAGAGTCATGAAATCTTCGACGCCCATCTTTCCATACACCGATCACATTTCCATAACGGTCAGGACGTGACGTCATGCATGATGTAAACGAAATGAGAAAATAACGCCTTGATGTCGATTTTCATTTTTTTGTTCTTCTTTTCTCCCAACTCTTAGCGTCGCGATAACAGCATAATTTGCAAGACTCGTCTCCGACAGAGGTCTGAAGACCTTGTCATTTTTTTAAAAAATTCATCCATCCTTAATTGGTTTCGAGGGACGAATGTGCGCGCCAGAGTTAGTAATCACAAATGAGAGATAATACGTTAATCTAGGTCCACTATACATCACGGATGGGCCGGGATCGTCCTGGTTTAGCAATGTTGTCACCGGACGTTTCGGCAGGTTTGATATTTTGTTGCCGTGGTTTCAATTCCAAATTTTAAAATAAAAAAATCGTTTAGTACTGTCTCTGTTAGATGGTCTCGTTCAGATGGTTAATGTCAGAGGTTGGTTGGTATAAAGTTATGTCCTTGATGTCAATTAGCGATAAAAAATCATCGTGTTAACACTGTCCCGTTCGAGGCTTGTTCAATTATTTATAAATAGTTCATCATGTTAATGTGAGGCCTCTTCGAATATGAGACCCCCCTGTTCCAATGGTTCCGTCTACAACCTCTGACCACCAATCCACTTTCTGTGAGTAGATCAAAGTAATATGCTGGCATTTATAGACAGTAAGCTCCTACTAAGTTGTTCGGAGATTTTAGACAAAAAAGTTAAAAACATTTCTGTGAAAGTAGATACATGTGAGGCATATGAATGTGTGAATAAGTCATTCCCTCCCGAAGGCTTTTCTCAAATTGCGTGATACGCAGGGGGGGGGGGTACCTTGCCCAGTAGCATGATTTGACAAAATTTCACCTGCAAAGGTGTTTCAATATCACTCCGCATTCACACATTTTTTTCTATATTGTTGGTTATAAACAATAATAATAATAAAGTTCATTTAAAAGAACACGCTTCTTCCCTAATTAGGGATCGAAGCGCTGTACAAAATCAACAATTCATTACAATTTATATTTTTCCACAAATAAAATACAAAACGCAACAGTACACAATCTACATCGAGGGATATGAGCAAGCTGGAAACAAGGAGGTAGACTACATCACCCCAGCAGGTGAGTGCGAAAAAGATGTGTTTTCAACTCAGTTTTGAAAGGATGCAGTGTCTGGCTGTTTCTGAGAGTGACGTGAAGGCCGTTCCAGAGTCTTGGGCCAGCAAAAGTGAAAGTGCGCCTTCCAAAGGTCTCAAGGCGGACTCGAGGTATCCAGAGTTTGACACTATCGGGTGAACGGAGTGACCTTGTGGGTACATAAGGCGTCACGAGCGCTTTGAGATAGAACGGCGCCAGTTCATGCAAGCAGCTGTAGCACAGGGTTGCAATTTTCCACAATAACAACGTATTCAAATGGTGCTATTTACTCGGACAGGGCCTGATCTCAACACTTAACTTTATGGTACGCTCACATTTATCTCAACTATCCCAATATGCAGACATACTAATCCCATGAGGCAGGGGACACCGCATTTAGAAATGACCTCGGCACGTCTGTTTGTAAAAAAATAGAAAATTGTAGGTTTTAAGCAGTTTTTTCAAGATCTAGTTTGGAGATTTAGATCTTACGTCACCACTGCCAGTCCGATAAAGTTATTTTAAATCGGACCAATAAAACGATGGACTTCCTCCACCTCAGATCTTGTCCTGACACTAGTCTTGAATCGGCTCACCACCGTAGCAGTTCTATCACACGTGATGATGCTTTCAAACTTCAATCACACAAAAAAATGATGATCGAACAAAACTAATTCTTACCAACAACCATAACCATGTAATTGCAAAAAAAATATAAAAATTCTTAAAGTACTAAATGCTAATCCCGACAACAATAGGGGATCCTCGTCCACCCCACATGCTATGTTCAGACGAGACACAAAAACAAGGCGACCTTCTGATTCACAGTGCATTCGAGCCACCGAGCCGCTTTTGTTGGGACTAAGCCATGGTCAAGAAGCGGTTGTATGACTAGCCCCAAAACACCGGAAACCAAATATTAGCCCCCCACCCCCTCCCCCCACATCCCTAAGTGTACTTTTACTATCAAAGAGGACTAAACATGTTTTAGTCCTAATGTGATATGTGTGATTGTTTGCCGTAGGTGCCGCTCTTGTTATATAGGTGAAACGGGATGTATTTAATCTGATAGGTTCAGTGAACATCTTCACGCTATCGAACAAGGCAAGCTATCATCGTTCAATTTCAACGGAGATACACCAAGCCACACCAAATAAAACTGGTTTTCTGCACTAAAACGCCACCTACAGTGCAGAATGAAAACAAATTAATTCAGAATTTCTGCACCATATCATCATATGGAATCAGTTAAATACCTTCTTATTAGCGGTCCTCAATGTCCCTGTATATATATTTTTTTTTTTTTATATAAAAATTTTGTCGGTTAAAAGTTGATTTCCCCTTAAGCATACATGAATTCCTTACTTCCTGCAATCTTTTGGAGAGTACACATGTTTCGGTTTTTTGGAAAAACTAAATTCTGCCAAAGTATAGCAATTCCGATTATACCATTTCCCACCAACAAGGCGAACTCCGAATACTTGCATATTTGAACTGATTACCCTTTCTTTGTTGCTTATTATTTCTTGTCTGCTCCTTTAGAAGGCTATTAGCCGAAACGATCTCCCTTTTATCCTGATGTATTTTTTTTTCAAGCCTCAACCTACCTTGTGTCCACAAATTCTTTCTTGGAACCTCTCACCGTAAAAAAACGTTTCACTTCGGTTTCCGGATTAAAGATTTAACATGAGTTGTACAAGGAAAATATTATACTTGCATTAAGCTTTGGGTAAATCATTATCTATTAAATGTGTGGATGGTGAAAGGAGATGGTAAAGATAGGTTACGATTTATTTATTGATTCAGGAAAAAAAATCTGAATTTTCGCTAGACTAGTTTCCTTATTTTGATAAGTTTTTTTTAATGGGAAAACAAGGACAACGATACTGATGATAACCGACAATTTCAACTTCATTATAAAAGTTATTTTACCAAAATTTTCAAACTTAAAAAAAACAAAAAAAACAACATCCAAATTATACTTTATTTCAAATGTAATCAAACGGGAAAGGTTAAAATAATGCACACATTGTCTAATTTACTAACAAAATACGGGAGAGATTTGCAGTTTCCAAAAACTGTTATGAAGAAACATGTGATTCGTCTCATTCTGTGAATTCACACTCATGTAAAAACACCATTCGAAATGATTTGTGGCAGTTGTCTAAATGCGGGTCTCCGCTGATTAGTATCAACTAATGAGGACAAACACCGGAGGCTTTCCGTGCCCTGTATGACCTCGTCGTTGTGTTTGTAGTTTGTTGTTTTTAAGAATCAGACAAACGCCTTTTTTGGAGATTTATTAAATGCCTCTTTTGCGATATATATATATATTATGGTGAAGTAATTAGTGCAAGCCTTTCAATGACATTTGTTTAAAGGATTTGTGGCTGGCTAGAGAAAGGGAGAGAGAGAGAGGTTGGAGAGAGAAAGGTGAGAGAGAGAGAGAGAGAGAGAGAGGAAGAGAGAGAAAATAGAGAGAAAGAGAGAGAGAGAAAGAGAGAGAGAGAAAGAGAGAGAAAGAGAGAGAGAGATAGAGACAGAGAGAGAGACAGAGAGAGAGAGAGATTGAGACAGAGAGAGAGAGATAAAGACAGAGAGAGACAGAGAGAGAGAGAGAGAAAGAGAGAGAGAAAGAGAGAGATATTAGATGACACCTTACTTGATGTGACAGGTAGATGGTGTGAAAATAAAAGGTACACCACTCCCGGGTCTTCTGTCAGAGTGTTTTTTATTTACGCCAGAGACAGAATTTAAAGTCATCAACCAGCAGAAAATGACAATTTCTTCAACCTACCTAACGTTCATTTTAACAATAATGTTTTTTTTTTTAAAATATAGACTTTAGCCCACAGTTTGTCCATTTAGACCTCAATTTTCCCACTTAGACCAACATTTTCCCACTCATAGCCAACAATTTGCCCACAATATAATTTTTGGGTCAGATGTGTTAAATAGCTAATGTTCATTCGAT